AAATTGTGAAACTTTTTACCTTTCTTCGCTTTGAATCAAAAACAGCAACACTGTATCTCTTAGGATTTTCATTTATCCAAAACCAATCTAGTGCAACAGTTAGTGTGTCCCCAGGAGACAATTTCTTTTTATAAACATGAAGGCCACGGATGAAAGTGTCCTGCTTGAGGGTCCCCATGTTTATGTTAAATAAATGTGACATGTTAATTATTGTCTGCTAGAGTTCTAAGCTACAAGTTTCAGAGTTTTATCTATAATGACGATGAATAAATTAATATCGTCGTCCAAAAAACGAGCCCGTTAATTAGTCCGATTTGATATGGGACACCCTGTACATTAAAATTTATAAAATATAAAATTTTCCAGCCAACACAAACATAATGTTTTACAGAAAGAATAAACGATGAAAAAGTTAAAAATAAAACATGAAAAACATATAAAAAAACATGAAAAATAAAGAGTTAAATTTTATCTGTCTAACCAACAAGTGTAAACTTTTGATATTTGTTTTGCTTTACATTTTTCTAACTACAAACTTTGAATTCTCTTTAACAGGGTTACCCATTAAGCATGAGACTTAAGAAACGATTGTTCGGAATTTGTTAAGTTTTTTTTCTTTCATTCAGGGTCCCCATAAGCCAAAACTGAATTATTTTTGTGCCTAATCATTTAGTAAACCATCAACATACTCAATTAAATGCACAAAGCAAAAATCAAGCTTCAAATCGTTGTTTGTAGTTTTAAATTTTTTTAGGCTGTCTTGGTTCTTTGTGTATGGTATCCTAATACTCTGTACCTCAATCTTAGGTAACACTTTTTGTTAATTATTTCTTTGTTCATACGTTTTTTATTTTTTTTTAATGCAAAGCATAAAATATCTGGCTTAGTGGTTTCTTTTTACTTTCTTTTTACAGATGGAAACATTTTTCTGTTTAGGATAGCATTTAGCATCAGCTGTTGTAAAGACTCAAAATCTACAATATAAACGTTTTATTGTTGAATTTGGAATTAAAATCCGGGAATATACTAGAAATCCACAAACAGATAATTAAGAAATGATTTAAAGGGGTACTTAGCGTTTAGAGTTAAGCTTTCCAGGGGGATAGAAACTGTCTGAGCGCTGAAACCATTGATTAATAGAGATACAAAAGTTTCGCCCCAGGTTTATTTGGTTCAGCTAATATGTTTTAGGAAGATGCTTACAAACGCTAGCAAATTATATACAGACATAAATATAAAGACATGAATTATAATCAAACATAAAATCTTTTAATGATTTAAAATTAATGAGTTAAACTCATTCATGAACAAGTTTCAAAGTCAAGAAGGAGTTCAACTTTTTACGTTTAACAGTTTCAGTTAAGGTTAAGAAGTTAAGCTTTTTGACCAGGCTCCATTTTGGTAAATTAGCAGCAGCAAATAAAATATACATTATACATACACAAGACAACGCAAAGTAAAGGTGATAAAGTTAAGCTATTTGGGTTTCGTGGCACTGAACTAGTACTATTCCATTGATTTAATCATTTTTTTAAAACCAATAATACATTGTGGTTATCAGTTAATAAAGAAATTTAGTCTGCCACAAATTTATAATTCTTATATCTTTGCAACAAAATGTTGTAGACCTTAAATATTTCAAACTACAGTGAATCCCAGATATATGAATACATAGCAAGAGTTTAGTATAATGTAAACTTCTTAAAAAACTTCTTTTTATTTTTAATTCAAGGTAAATTAATAGCCGTGAAATATCAATGCCATTGATATATAAATATCAAACTCATTTTTCCGCGGCATTTTATCTTAAATAATGTAATACGACATTATAAAAAACTCTTGCTATGTATTCAGATATCTGGGATTCACTGTATAAATTTTGCTCGATCAAATATCTTAGTTTGAAATATCAAAAACTTACACCTCCATCAGGTTGCAAAGAAATTGGGATTAGAAAATATGAGTTTGTGATCTTTCATGGGTCATACAGACTGTGGGGAATAGGGAACCAATAAGAGAATATCCCTGCAAGGGTTGAATGAGTTCAATTAAAAGTTCCAAGCTCATGTCAAGAAAAGTCTTAATCATGTTTGATTTGTGACCATTATCAACAATTGTTGAGTTAAACTTACACAATACATTCTGAAATGTTTTTTAAAGTTTTTTTGTAAAATGGGTCAGTGCAGACATTTAAAAAATTATAAATCGTTATGGTGNTAAAGTTTTAAAACAAGCATGTTACCTTAAACTCTAAAGTGCTGATGCTTTACACCATTGCTGAATCTTTCATCGTGTTTTAACATCTCGAAAGATGTTTCTGGTTTTGGTAACATCATCATTTCTATAAAAATATTGATTTAAAATAAGATAAAGATTTATCACTGTTGTTTAAAATATTCTGCCTCATGGGGTGTCGAATCAATCTTGTACAGGGTTACATTCAAAGGCTGAGACTGTAAAGACGACCTGAAACTCTTAAAATATGATTAAGTCTTAAAATTAAATTAAGTCTTTTGCTTTGAATATTGTCGTTTAATTGTAGGAGAGAGATCCTAAATATAAGGAAATAGACATTGTAAATTATTTACAGTTGTCTCTGAAGTCTCATTCTTTGTGGGTGACCCTGTAAATAAATCAGTTATTCCGTTAGAGAAACTTGTATTGAATTGATTGATTGAATGATTCCAATGATGATTTTTATACTCTTTTCGCTCTCTTTATCCAGCTTAACAATAATCCGCTAATTCCTTCCAAAATGTCGTCTTCATTTCATTATTTTTTTTTTGTCGAAATATCAAAAACTTACACCTCCATCAGGTTGCAAAGAAATTGGGATTAGAAAATATGAGTTTGTGACAAAAACTCAATTTCTTTACACTATCTCCTACAAAAGTAGGCATCGCTTAGTATTTTAGATATTTAATTGAACTTGATGAACTTTTTAGGAAGTTTGCTGATGAACTTTATTGTATTTAACAACACTTCATCTTATCTCCCAGGTAAACTGACAATACAGATTGTATAGATCATTATACGATAGGACTGAAATAAACTGTGAAATTCTTCAACTGTAAGACTCAAAAACAGATAATAAAAGTCCTATGAACATAAACGCTAGTTAATTTTCAATGTACTAGTAAAAAAAATCTTGGCGTTTTTTATCTTTAATGATTGACTGATTAATTATTCTAGTCTTGTTTGTCATGTTAGAGTTCGGATGATCCATTATTATGTTTAATTGATTATTTTAGTCCTGTTTGTCCTGATATTTGAGTTTGGATTATCCATCAACAGATATAATTGCTTATTTTAGTCCTGTTTGTCCTGATATTTGAGTTTGGATTATCCATTATCATGTTTAATTGATTATTTTAGTCCTGTTTGTCCTGATGTTTGAGTTCGGATTATCCATTAACAGATATAATTGATTATTTTAGTCCTGTTTGTCCTGATGTTTGAGTTCGGATTATCCATTATCATGTTCGCATTCGTCATGACTGCACTTTTCAGTAAAGCCAAGGTAAGAGATAATTAGAACAAATGTTAAATTACCTTATAGGGTAAACAGGGTAGGTGCAATATCCCTCAGATATCTCAGGGTGCATTAGGTGTTTTCTACCAACCGATTATTTTAATTTTAAAATTTCACGGTGTAAGACCGCGCGGTCACTTCAACTAGTTGCTTCGAAATTTAGTTTTTAGTTCTTTAATTATTGACAGCACATTTTAAAGTTTAAACTGTATTTTTAAAACTTTTATTTTCATAACATTATTACAATTTTTTTATGAAGTCTCTTTTTAATTATTTAATTTAACAAAACATGTTGTGCAAACAAAACCAATAGATGCATATTGCATATTGTCAAATATATATAGAATCAAGACAAACACGTTTTTGAAAATCTGCAATGGTAGATTTCACTGATAAGGTTTTTCTAAATGACTTCTTATTTTTTAATGAACTTTGATTTCAATTTACAAAACGGGATATCCCATTGATCGAATCAGCATGGATTGAAGTTGTCTCACCTCATTTTTTTTGGCTTCCAATTTTTTGTTTAATTCTGAGTTTATTTTTTGAAGCTCTGAAAGTTCATCCTGCTTAAACTTAAACCTTTCTTTTTGTTTTTCTCTGTATTTCTTGCACGCCATGTTGTTCTTTTTATGGTGGTCTTCCGAGGGGTGATTTTGTTTTAGAGGATTTTTAACAAATTTTGACGAGTTATCTAGAAAATTTGAGAATTCTGATCTGGGGGATGTGACCACGGAAAACTGGTCTATTGTTGGTTGAGAATTAGGTTTAAAGAATTCTGATAAGTGGTCAACAGGTTGAACTAAGGTTGTATCTGGTTCGGTAAAGTTGGAAGGAGCCCAAACATGTGTGCTACTTCCTTGAAAAGTTGACATTTGGTCATCACAACTCAAATGCCCCAGGTACTCCTCAATTTCGTCTGAACAAAAACAATATTTTTTTTTAAAAGTTTAAATCATATAAAAAAATATATTGTATACCTTTTAAATCTGGCAAGTTAAAGAGGCGAGAATGTTCCATGAATAGGCCGTACTTTGTTTTCGCAATGCAGAAAATGCAAACTTGGTGAATTTGTCCAACTTTGACAATTTGTACTCCAATGGCCCCGAAACCTTCCAGACAGCCACGGATCAACTTTTGTTTTCGTAAAACTCGTTTTGGAATCCCTCGCGGGTCCCCTCGTGGAGCAGATTGCCTGCTCGTCACCCTCGACATCGTCGCCATCTTTTTCATCCAAACTTTAGAGTGTTCATGATGAACAAAGTCCCAGAAATATTTGAATTTCCAAGATGACGTTTTCCGTGAGGACAACTGAAGCTTAAGTTCCTGGTTTGATGGAAAAGGAAAATAACCTTAAAATATAAAAATTGTTAAAAACCGAAAGAGCTTTGCTTTTACTAGATTTGATTTTCTAATACTTATAATCTTTGCAACCTGCTGTCGTATCCCTTCAACATTTTAAGCTGTACATTATGCTTTATCAAATTGTAAACAGTTTCAAATATCAGAGGTTTACATCATCAGATTGCAAAGATATAGGTATGAATAAGTTATCAGTTCTTGTAATTGTGGAATTTGTTTTGTTTTATTATTACCTTTTCCAACAACATGAAGCTTCATGGTGAATCTTCAGAGTTATACTGAAATAATTTTGGATTTATTTATGGACTTGAATATCAACTGTAGAAATAAACTCGTTGTTTCTGTAAACTTTATAGACAATTAAACTTAAGATTTCTACATCAAAAATAAGATAAGAAAAAAGTTATTTTCACAGCAAACACCTTATTTGTCCTGAGAACGAATTTAAAGAATTGGAGCCGCAGCTTAAATTTGAGACGCGGCTCGAATATAGTTGGTTTCACTTACAATTGTATTCAATGTTTCAAGATTTAAGCCGACGCTCAATTGAAACCGGATTCGAGACGCGGCTCAAATTCATTAAATTCAAATTTTTGGAATGAACTAAAGTTTTAAAACAAACATGAACTTACCCTAAACTCTAAAATGCTGATGCTTTACATCATTGCTGAATCTATCTATCGTGTTTAAAAATCTCGAAAGATTTTTCTGGTTTTGGTGTACTATCATCATTTCTATAAAAAATATTGATTTTAAATAAGATAAAGATTTATTACTGTTGTTTAAAATATTCTGCCTCTTGGGGTGTCGAATCAATCTCGTACAGGGTTACATTCAAAGGCTGAGACTGTAAAGACGACCTGAAACTCATGAAATATGATTAAGTCTTGAAATTAAATTAAGTCTTTTGCTTTGAATATTGTCGTTTGATTGCCAATATATTGACATGGAAACGAAACAAACTAGCTTAAAGTTGCAGAGGATCCTAAATATAAGTATAAATTATGTACAGTCGTCTCTGAAGTCTCATCCTTTGTGGGTTACCCTGTAAATTAATCAGTTATTCAGTTAGAGAAACTTGTATTGAATTGATTGATTGAATGATTTCAATGATGGTTTTTATACTCTTTTCGCTCTCTTTATCCAGCTTAACAATAATCCGCTAATTTCTTCCAAAATGTCGTCTTCATTTCATTATTTTTTTGTCAAACAAAGATTTAAAATGAACCGTTTTGAATCAGACATAAACTTTCAGTTGAAGGTTCACTTGAAAATACGTCGAAAGGTCATATTTCAAACTTTCCCCCTGAATGTTCTAAGTTTGTAAAACATGGGCTCCTGTCTGTATGTTAACTGTACTTGACGGTGTACTGAGTAGTATGAGTTTATCGAAAGAACTGACTGATTACTGAATAAAATCCGCCAAAATTTGCCTTTATGCCTTATCTAAAGGGTATTTTTTCACATATTTGCATTTTAAGATTTGCTTGGAAAAATCGACAATGGACAAAAAAGTTCTTAAATAAAAATATTTTTTTTGACAATGTGAGGAGTGACTTCCCTTTCCTGCTTGGGTAGATAGATAGATAGAACATACGTCACTCGTAGTATAGATAGATAGAACATACGTCACTCGTAGTATAGATAGATATTGTTGAAATTATTGCACCATGTTTAGCTTGGCCTAGGTTTACACTAGGCTAGCTAAGTAAATATGAACTGGCTGACGTCATTCAACAATTTTATGAATATGGTGTTTACAATTATGAACGCTAAATAAAAAATAAACTTTCCAAAATGTTAAGTTAACGAAAAATTAGGATTCTCGCGTAAGGATGAGGATATTGATGCATGCAAGTATGTTTTTTTTCACTATATGCTAGACTAGTTTTTTGTAACAATTTAGTTTTTTTTTAAATTGCAATTAAAGTGGGCATTTTCTTTTTAAATTTTAACCGCCTTTTGATCAACGTTAGGGTATTTTACGTCCCTTACATTACATTACATTACATTACATTACCGACCTATGATTCCCCCAACATAGGGACGTTAAGGTACTTTACGTCCCTCGAGACAATTATGTAAAATAACGACCAGCTCTGCGTAGTTTTTATAAAAAAAAATCGCGCATTTTCATCTCAAACGACAATAAAATTGTGTACAACTACTTTTTTGGGAATTTAAAACTTTTCCTTTACCACGGGTTCCCTTGGTAGAGTAAAATGTCCTTAACATTCCTGGAAAGTAATTGTGTACGCTTTCAAAAATATTGAGTGTTTAATGTTAATCCATTTTTTACGGGCAACAATTTTCATCTGTTTCTAACAAGAAAAACTTCCTAGACCACTTTTAGGTTTTCATGTAGAAAGCCTCGGTCGGCGGTTTTCTTAGTTCTAAAACGAAGTCATAAAGCGATCATCCCTTTAGTAAATAAACACATATGTTGACACCTTGCAATGCATAAAATTTAAACAAAGCTTTTCGAAAAATGTATTAGCTTTAAAAAATGATTTTTAGTCTGCTGGCATATCTGGAGGGTTAAGCATTCTCATCATCTCTCTCTTCTACTATCTACAGGTAGAGGCACACTTTTTATAAACTTTAATTTTCAAAACCTTTCTCAAAAACTCATGATTGTAACAATTTAAATCAAAAGTAAGGTCTATGACAGCATCAGGTTTAAAGGATAAATTAATTAGAAAATTAAAGTTTGAGGCAAAAAAAAAATGTTTCTGTTGAGTAATTTTGAAGAAAACTTTTTAATTTATCCATTGAACAAAACAAAATTCCCTTATTTTTCTAACCCCAAACTTATCAATTGTAAATTTAATGATAATCTTTATAAAATATAATGTATACGAATTACGAATATGTATGTGCGGCATGAAGCACCCAGATTTCTGATTAATATTTCAGGTTTATCTGTCTGATTCTCCCCCTGGGGTGTTCTGGTTAATTGGTCTGCTCAGTCCAGCAGCTTTCTCAATGAGTATGGATAAGGTACTTGATTCACTAAATTAGGTAATTTTACCTAATTATGTAATTTTATAAATCATATAAACTTACCAAATTTTGTAATTTTATTAAAATATGTAGGTTAAAATATAGGTACGTGTTGCAAATTATATAAATTTACTAAATTATGTAACTTTACAATGCAAGATGTAATTTTAACAAATTATGTAAGTTTACCAAATTATGTAAGTTTACCAAATTTTTAAGTACAAGATCAAGTACAACTAAAGATCAAGGACAACTTAGTATTAAGAACAACTTAGGATCAAGGACAACTTAAGATAAAGGACATCTTATGAGTATGGATGACTTTAAATTAAGGACATTAAGTTAAAGGACAACTTAAGGTCATGGACCACTTAAGATCAAGGACAACTTAAGATTAAGGACGACTTAAGATTAAGGACAGCTTTAGATCAAGGACAGCTGAAGATCTAAGACAACTTAAGATCTAGGCTGCCTTAAGGCCAATGACATCTTAAGATCAAGGACAGCTTAAGATTATCAACGACAACCAAAGATCAAGGACAGCTTAAGATCAAGAACTCTATAAGGTCAAGGGAATCTTAAGATCAATGACATCTTAAGATTATGAACGACAACCAATGATCAAGGACATCTTAAGAGCAAGAACAGCTTAATATAAACTATATACAAATATGGCGAAAGATAATCGATGACTATAGTTGTAATATCTGAATGATTAATGTTTGAAATTAAATTGATTTTTTTACGGTCTAAGTTGTATGTTGCAATTTTCTGAATTTTTATGGGCGCTAAGTTATTCGGTATGAGACGTCTTTAACAATTTTCTCATTATAGACGCAACAGATAGAAGTAAGATTAGCAGCGATCAAAAGCGCTTTTTTATCGCATTAAGCCTATACCCCCTTTCATTTTTTCGCGAACACTCCCTTTAAGATTATCATCGATAACCAAAGATCAAGGATATCTGAAGATTATAAGGACAGTCTAAGAACAAGGACGCCCAAAGTACAAGGCCACTCAAACAACAGATAAAGTCAAGGATGAAAAAACTACAAACCAAAAAATCTAAAGATTTGAGACAACCAAGTTCAAAAAAAAGGCTAAGGACTAAAACAAATAAAGAATAAGATGAATTAAAGAAAAAAAATAAGGAAAAAGGTTAGGACAAGGAAAAGAAAACCAAGCAAGATAATCGGAAACTGAAAAAGACTAATTCTGCATTTACAAGAGACAAAATAGGGCAATTAAAAGACAAACTCAGTAAATTAACTGACTAGAAGTTTGTCCGGACATGAAAATAATATACGAAGTAAAAAATGACAAATTTTAAAGATTTGAAACTTTAGATTTTGGTTTTTGATATCCGTGGGATTCCTCTTAGCGTGGATTCCATCTGGGAGACGGGAGAGGCAGGGATTCCTCTAGGTAAGTCAAGGGTGTATACTAGGGTTTCTCAAAGTTTAGTTGCCCCTACTAAGATCCTGGTTAATTATGGTCTAAAAATATATATAATTTTTTCGATTATTGCGAACGATTCGGATTATGCATTTAAAAGTTTATTGTATAACGGAACGAGGTTTCGTGATTTGCAAGGTTTTATTAAACTCTGCTAGAAATAGTAAAAAACGATGTATTTTTCTCTGATAATCATTGTGAATCGTTAATAGATCAATTAATCTTAAATAATATGAAATTATCATTATGAATCATTACTGGAAAAAATTGGGCAGCTTACCTAGGGAATACAGGGTGTCCCACATCATATTAGACCGTCAACGGGTCTAAATTGCGATTTTCGGGACTAATAAGAAAATTTAATTAGAATAAATCAATTTGAAAAATAACATAAGGCTTATATAAGAATTTTCTTGCGGAAAATGATAAGTTTTTCGAGTATTAAGGGTTTTTTTTGTCGTTAAAGATTAGAGATAATCTAATATGATATGGGACGCTCTGTATATATGGCCCACACCGGACTAACCAGAGTGAGCAGCATCCGGTTTCTTCTATTTGAAATCAAACGAGTTTTTTTTTTTAATTCAATAATCATTTACTTTACGGATTTGTTTATTTTATACATTTTTATTCAAAATGCATATGCCAACAAAAGTATTTAAGAATAACAGCTAAAAAATTATGTTTAATGGGTCAAAATGTGATCGAAAGTCACAGTTTCCTGGAATATTGACAGAATCGTTAAATTCACGTGGGCCGGATTATGAACAGAAGAAAGATAGTCACAAAGATCTGACATGAACAACTTACTGCGGACAAGACGAACCAACAATAAGCCAGGAACTAACGGAAGCTAAGAAACAGATAAAAAGATATACTTTTAAAATGGGGAAAATAAGTCACATGAATTCGGAAGAACAGAATTTTTCTTCTGCGCTTCGCGTTCACATTCAAAGAATTGATTCATATCGTTTATTTTACCGCTGTTGGAAGTAAAAACAAATTTAAGACACAAAAAAAGCCATAGGATATGAAAACAAATCGATTCGTATTGAATACTGAGCCTAATCTGTGCATGCAACAACGGAAAAGTTCAGTTAATTTTCAACTTCAAACCTTTAACCAGGATTTTTATTTTGAAAAATTGTCTATATATTAAACCTAGGTGGAGCTATGATTATGATTCTAATTGACATTGTACTGTACGGTTTCTTGGCGGCTTGGTTGGATAACATCATCCCAACAGGTATGTATATGTAATAGGTTTTTAAGGTGCTTCGCGCCCCTTTTCGTCTTAATAGATTTAGCTTTTAATTGTTTTTTAAAAATCGGCCATTTTAAATAATTTCAAATTTTTCTGAAAAAATCAAACTATTTTCCAGAATTTATTCTTCCAATTTTGATGTTGCATAAATCTTCCCTTTGGTCATAGGACCAACAAAAAAATCAAGTTAGATCTGTTCTACCGTTTCGACGTTTATCGGTATCAAACAAACACCCAGACAACCTATATATAAATAGATTATATATATTCTAGGTCGATTTTTGTTTTAACAACATTAACTGCGAGGTTACAACTAAATTAGTAACTAAATGAATATTGACTATCATGTAACTCCATCTATGTTCAGAATATGGAACTAACCGACCTCCTTGGTTTTGTCTCCTACCTTCCTACTGGACAAAAACAAAACCTAAAAAGGTAACTATATAATTTTAGCATAAGATATTTAAAAATTATAATTATTCTTTTTTCTTGCACGCTAAGGATCAAATAGAACATAGTCATCAGGTATTTAAAGAACCTAATAGTCCGTTTGTTTTATACACTTTTATATATCAATATATCAATTTTATACACGTTGTATATATCATACAACGAAGACGACTTAAGGTTTTAAATTTTATTTCTTGCAAGTTTGAAACAGCATTGTTACACAATACACATACTTATGGAAACAAAGTCAAACTATCAAATAACAACTTCTCTTTGTTCGCTTGTAAAATTGTAATTCGAAAAAAGTTTGTTAACAATCGAAACTTGAATAAAAATTCGTCTTCATTGGATTGATACGCCAGTTACTGTATCTAAATAGAATTGACTGGTCTACCTTTTCGAAATACTCATACTTCTATTCGTTATATCTTACATAATGTGATACTTACAGACGACGATTTGAATCCAAGTTATGATTTAAAATATCAAAATTAACATTAATTCAATACAGCAATTGTGTATACTAAACATTAAACAGTGGACAGACCCAGTTCACCGTTGATTTTTAGGCTTTAAATGCAAAATTATTTATAGTCATCTTCCTGTTTTACAGTTTAATGGGTCTCATAGTATTGAATGGTTTTTATCTTATCAAAAGTTGGTCCAATTTACAAAAATTATTAAAAGTAATTTGCAAAAAATTACTAAAAAATCTAATTTCAATTTTTGATGGACAGTTTTTAACTTTCCGGCCTCACGAATGAGTGGTAAGGTAAGCTTGTGATCCTAAATTTAAAAGTTTAAGTACTTTGTGTATTTTCAAATAGGTGACCGATCCCTTTAGATATTAATTGTTAAGGGATATTCTGGAATTTACCGTGAAATCTCGTCTCCGGATATAGAAGCAGTTCCTGTGGACATGCAGCAGAAAGAAGCCATTGTCATTGAGGTATTGTCTTTGATATACGCTACATTCAATCTCAATTATATTTCATGACATCATGGAAAGAGAGAGAACGAATGTCTTCATTCGGAGAAATTTTCCTACTTTCATACATTTAAAACCTAAATAAGCCATACATCGAAAGAATTTATCAAATGTCGTCTTGACAATTTTTCAAAATACTATTTTACATTCTATTATCAGAAAGTGAAGAATACGACATTTGATGCATTCTTTCGATGTATGGCTTATTTAGGGTTTAATTTGTATGATATAAGAATTTATATTTTAGAGATTGTTTTATTTATTGCCATTCTATTTTCGTAAATACATTTTTAATTTCTTGAAGGTTTTATTTTTAATTTTTTATTCATAAAATGTATTTATGGGATCTTTAATGTGGCACTGGCAAAGTTAGGCATTGCTAAAATGAATTAAAATTTTTTATTTAAGGATCTTCGAAAAGTATTTGGTGGGTTCAGAAAAACTCCAGTAAATGCTGTCAATGTAAGTATAAACACATCAAATATGCAGTTCAATAATTTAATTTATAATCCTTGGTTTAATGTTCAAACATCAGCAACATTATTTCATTAGAAAGATATATGTTTAATTAGAGGGTACTGCCCTTCATACCCATTATAGGGGGGGAGGGGGGTACCGCCCTTCATACCCATTGTGAATTGTGGATGCAATTCTTGAAATGGCAGAGGAGGGTACCGGATTATGAAGAATAATTTGATGAAATTGTAAATAATTATTTTAAAAATAAGTAAACTTGCTTAGACGTTAAAGCAAGTTAAATCCATTCTTTATTGGTCTGTGGTCGTTATGATCCACATAATTCTCGGGACCACTGTATATATTTTAAAAATTTAGGGCGTTAGTTTGAAAATCTACTCTGGAGAGATAACTGCAATACTGGGGCATAACGGTGCAGGTACAAGTATTTTAATGAATTCAACAAAGGTCGTCTTTATCAAACATTTTTTAGAACTTGAATTTGTTTTACAGCTAAACTTAAAGTTTAATTAATGCTAGTATTCCATTTGTAGGCAGTCCTGTATTATGTATATGTAATATGCAGTTGTGGTAAAAAAAAACTCCATTTAGGATATTCAAACATTACCTATTCTTTAAGGGAAGACGACCTTATTTAATATGTTGACCGGAATGACCTCAGCTAGTGGAGGTTCAGCACACATTTTTGGATACGATATTAGGTAAAATTTGAGTTTGATTTTAATTACATTAAAGCTAAATATTCTAGCGGAGTCAATGTATCGTCTTCCATAACTTAAAAGATATCCATGAACGAGATCATCTAAATCCTCAAACTAGCCGAATCTGAGAGTAGAACACAAAAGAGATTTGCCATTAATTCTAACGTGACTTCTTTTAATCTTATGACCAGAGCTGAAAACTTTTGAATCGGATATCCTTAATACCGATCAGTTAAATAATCTGGAGATTAATAACTAGAGGAGAACAAACCTTATTTAATCTCGAGACAAAGAAAAAGAGTGGATCAAGCATTAATCCCGATATCCAGAAATCAAAAGTTCCCAGCTCTGATGTGACTGTTTTAAATATCCATTGGATAAGATAAAGTTTATTGCTAAACTAAATCAATTAAATAGATTTGAGGATAAAGGGACCCTTTGTGGCCTTTATATTTGGCGAGTGACCTTCTCTGACCTTTACAAATGTCTAGTGACCTGTTGGGACCTTTTGATATGTCTAGTGACCTGTTGTGACCTTTATATATGTCTAGTGACCTGTTGCGACCTTTTAATATGTCTAGTGACCTGTTGTGACCTTTATAAATGTCGAGTGACCTGTTGCGACCTTTTAATATGTCTAGTGACCTGGTGTGACTTTTATATATTTTTAGTGACCTGTTTTGACCTTTATATATATCTATTGACCTGATATGACCTTTATATATATAGTGACCCCGACCAGATGGAGATAGTGCGCCGAATGACCGGAATCTGTCCCCAGCACGATGTATTGTTTGACGAGTTGACCCCAAGGGAACATCTTCAGTACTTCGGAAGAATCAGGGTATTCATTTTAGTTATTTAGTTATATTAAATTTTCCATTGAGATATCTAATGCTTCAAAATTGTATAATGAGGCGATGATAATTAAGCAATAATTATGATTTTTGATGTTAGATCAAAGCAAACAGCGCAACCAGTGCCTTAAAAACCAACTTAGCAGTTGTGTCTGTTTACTCTATTTCATTTTAACTGGATTCAAAATCATAACTTGAGTCTAACTTGATTAAACTTGTTTCCTTATAATTATATATTTTAGGGAATAGAAGAAGAAAATTTGGAAGAAGAAGTAGAAAGTATACTAAAGGAAAATGCCGCAATTTATTTTATTTTATTTTATATTCATATGTGGCAAATAGCTTGTGGCATTCATTATTCATTAACTAATACAATGGAAACGCCTCATTCATAACTCCGGTAATTATGAAAGCTAAAAAATTGCAGACCACATTTTGGAAATGGCAGTACAAGGGCTGCAATTATTGATTGTAAAAAAACATTATTAAATCAGTTGAATGCCGCATACTATTTCTAAGGTTAAAGACGACTTGAAGTCATAAATCAATTTATATTATTCCGGGTTATTTTGAATAGGAAGCTATTCTAAATTGAAAAAATTAATGACGCCCCTAAAAAAAAAAAAGAAATTGCGATGATTAGGATATTGATCTACTGGACAAAGGAGACAGTAGAACTGATAAACTATCAGGGGGACAAAAACGGAAACTCAGTGTCGGTAAAAATATTATCTAAATGTAAAAGATTTCTCTCATATCGAAGTATTAAAAGTAGTATGCCAGATTGTATGCCCACTTTTAACTTGCATGAACCCTGGGCCTTGACCTATTTGCCTCAAATTTGGTTTTTGGAATTCACTAGAACCAATTGATTATTTTAAGCTTGGTTAAAAAATAAAAGTTGAGTAAGTCAACTTTAGAGGGAAAACTTTGTTTACAGGCAAAGCTGGGTCACCCTAGGAAATATCATATAAATCAAGTAGTAATCTCTGTATGCTTGTCTGTTTATATGTTCTTTTAAATTCTAATAAACCCCTTGCCATATTTGCCTCAAATTTTGGTTAGGATCTCGTTAGAACCTGCACTAGATTCTTAGTTTGGTTTGACAAATTGTTAAAATCTCCAGGCATCTTCCGGGTTTCCTTGCTAGTTAAAAATTAATCTTCTCCTTTTTTTCAATGAAAAGAGTTCTCAATTTTTTCTACAAGTATATTTTTCTTTTGTCCACAATATTACAAAACTGTACTGAAGCTTTCTCAATATGAGTTATCTTGTGCAGAAAACATGTAGACTGATAATGCTCTCAAAATTATAGTATTTCCATAAATTGGTATTTACTATTTATACAATTAAACCAATACAAACTTATTATTAAAGTAATGACTAGCTGGAGTGCCCGGTCTTACCCATAATATTTAAAAATAAATTTCGAATTTTAAAAATAAAAATTTTAATTTTTAAAGCCGGATTTTAGCCTTTAGGATTCTCTCAAAAAATGTCAGTCAACTTGGTCCTGGTCAGCTATGGCCACAGACTGCGCACATGCTCTATCTGGATAGGCTAAGCAGGCCTAATGTGTACCGGCACGCCATGCTACAGTTTTATGAAAGTTTTTTAGACTACCATATAACGGCCACTTGTTGCATATAATACAATTCTCCAGGAATAGCTCTGATTGGAGACCCTTAACTAATAATTCTCCAGGAATAGCTCTGATTGGAGACCCTTAACTAATAATCCTCCAGGAATTGCTCTGATTAGAGACCCTTAAATAATAATTCACCAGGAATTGCTCTGATTAGAGACCCTAAACTAATAATAGCTCTGATTAGAGACCCTTAACTAATAATTCTCCAGGAACAGCTCTGATTGGAGACCCTTAACTAATAATTCTCCAGGAATAGCTCTGATTAGAGACCCTTAAATAATAATTCACCAGGAATTGATCTGATTAGAGACCCTTAACTAATAATTCTCCAGGAATTGCTCTGATTGGAGACTCTGGACTGATATTTCTATTGGAATAGCCCTGAATGGAGACCCTAAATTTATATTTCTCTCGGAATAGCTCTGAATAGAGACCATGAACTAATAATTCTCCAGGAATAGCTCTGATTGGAGACCCTAAACTGATATTCCTGGACGAGCCAACTGCCGGTGTGGATCCCTACAGCCGTCGACATCTCTGGAATATACTAAAGAAGAGGAAGGAAGGAAAGGTGACCTTTCGAGATTGTTTAGATTCTTATATCGTAAAGGGACTGTATACATAATTTCATGTGACCTTCCAAAATATCATTGTGTGTTCTTAAGATATGATTCTTAATGGCGGATTTATGGTGCAGAGGCAATGTCAAGAAAAACGACAATTTTCAATCTACTAGAGGGTTTAAGGGTTCTGTTGTAAATCGCACATGCTACTCTACAAATGGAGGGTTACTTGAAACAACATATTAAAGTTCTGTAGAAATAATTGAATTGCTTGTTTTTATTTGTTTTTGTTTTTTGTATGACTCAAACAATCTTTTTAGGTTATACTATTAACCACACACTTCATGGATGAAGCAGATATTCTTGCTGATAGAAAAGCGATCATTTCTAAGGAAACCATTATTATGAAAATCTGATTTGATTTGAATTGATATATATATATATATGTATTTCTAAGAATGGGTGAGTTAGAGCTAGTTGGCATCCTTATTATTTGTTTTTGTTTTTAAAGATATTCTATGATTTTTAGTATATATGTGGTCTCACATTTTATTTAATTTAGATTTTCTTTGATATGGTTTGCACCTTCGGTTTATATAGTTAGATATAGGAATTAGACAATTTGACATTATGGCAATCTGATTCAATTCCTTTTTATTGAAAATAATTACTTAATAAATATAATTGCCTATTGAATTCAATGTTATTATGGTTACCGTTGACTTCTTGGATTTTTATTGATTCCCGCCATCACACCCAATTGCACCCTATACACTACGCCATCTTCTATATATATATAGACTTCTTTATATATACTTTGCTTGTTTTGCTGTTTGTTTGATTTTAGCCTAAAGCAATCTCTAACCTTCATGATTTGATTTAAAACGTCTAAAAGGCTGAACCGATCGGACCTAAATTTTGTGTGGGTCCTCCCGTGACCCCAAGGAAGGTTTACTGATGCTCAAAATTACAAAAACGTTGAGAATCCACGAAAAAAAATATTGTAAATCCGCAACAGTGAAAAGTTAAAATAGAAGATGGGCGGAAGCGCCCTGATAGTCTGATTGATAATAATCGTGGTGTTGGTGGTTAGGGAGTAGTACGGTGCTATGGTTCTTCACTCTTCTTGAAAAACAGATTTGGAATCGGATATCATCTCACGTAAGACCTTAGCTTTATGGGACTGTTAAGTTAAAAAGTGCCATAATTATTCACAAAAGGACCAGTCAGTAAATTTTAGAGAGGATAGCGTAAAAATTTGATATTGAAGGCTAGAAATCAGTACTTCCTTTGTAAAAGAAAATTAATTAAAAATTGTTATGTTCTCACTCTTTGAAACAATTGTTATTTGCATTGTTTTGGGTTAAGAAAATAATAAAAGTATCTAAGAGTAATTTATTTATCTGGTTATTTAGAATTGTCCTGAAGAGTGATGATGGTTCCTTGAATATCCGTAATATGGTGATTAAGCAAGTTCCAGGGGCGCACTTGGTGAGTTCAGAATGCGGTATTACTCCTCAAAAATATATTACATCTTCTAATTCTGGTTCATTCTCTTTAATCAAGAGTTCTTTAAAACAATTTCTTTTGAATAACTTCAGAAGTTATCCTTTAATGTGAAAGAAATATAATTTAGTTAGATAACAATCTCTTCAAATAGAGTTGGAAACTATCCTTTTTGAGACATGTCAACCTTGTATCCTTCATTTAGTTAATACTTACATCCCTTTCAAACAGTTTTAAAGTAAACTGAACAAATTTACAGTTCGTATATAATACATTTGAACAAGTTTGGAAACTATCCCTTTCATGTAAATTGGACTAATATATTTCTCATAAAATACCTTTGAGCGATATTTGAAACTATCACTTAACCCTATCCCTGCTGGGGTACTTGAAAACCAGGATATGCTGGGGGGGGGGGATGTTCGAAAACAAGTTGGAATCTAAATGTTATTTTAAAAAATAAAATCAAAACATATTATGAAAAATCAACTATATACAAATGTGGCGAAAGATAATCGATGATTGTTTTACGGTCTAAGTCGTATGTTGCATCTTTCTGAATTTGTATGGATACTACGTTCTTCGGTGTAAGTCGTTTTTAACAATTTTCTCCTTATAGACGCAACAGATAGAAGTAAGATGAGAAGCGATCAAAAGCGCTTTTTATCGCATCAAGCCTATATCCCCTTTCATTTTTCGCGAACACTCCCTTTAATTTGGAACTTTAAAAAATGGCATGTTTCGAATTCCCTTCATAAAGGTTGGATACATAATAAGAATTGGAAACCCGGCCTATTTAATGTTTATTGGAGAAAGTTCCTTTGTCTATGATTGGATACAATCCCAATTTTAACAAGATTGAATTGAACGTATATCGGAAACAGAAATTTTGATACATACAATCCCTTTATAAGGATTTGAATGCCTTTTTTAGGTAATTTGGACACAGTCCCCTTAATTCAGTTAGAATATAGTTCCTTGAATAAGATCGGAAATTGTCCCTTTTATGTAAATTTATAAAATAAAACTCTTCGCTTATATATATATATACATATATATATATATATATTTGTATGTATATATGTTAGCTATGGCTGGCCTAATGGCTGGATCAAATAGGCTGAAATTTTGTGATGAAACACATGAGTATCCTGGGTGTAACGTAGGATAAAAAAATATTTTTTTTCCAAAATAAATTTTTTTTTTTCAAACTTTTTTTTCAAATTTACAGACAACGTCAGGCACTTCAGCTAATATTTGATAAATGTTGGTACAATATATTTTAGGCTCGAGAATATGGTCGGGAATTGTCGTTTGTTCTTCCAAGAGATAAAGTTCAAGTTTTCCCCCAGCTTTTTAGACAGGTATTACAGAGAAAACAAGAAAAGTGTGGAATGATCGTCGTATTTGTTCAATCCTAAGAGACATTTTATAATTAAAATAAGATGGAAGACGACGAGGATTTCATAGTTTTCTGGCGCTGTTGTCNCACAGTAGAATCTTTTTCTTGCGTTTAAAATGGCATCGATTTGAAAAAATTACTCAGTGAATTTAATATTTTCAAAACTGAAGACCAAATTCATTTTACTTTCTCAGAGTTTATCAGTAAAACTTCATTCTTCAGGTTCAAATGACGCTAAGAAGTGCTTTTGAAATAATAACAATTTCTACTTTAGATCGAGGAAAGTATTAGATTGGATGATGAGCTAGGAATCTCAAGCTACGGAGTGTCTATGACCACCCTGGAGGAGGTTTTCCTTCATCTCGGAGAACTTGAAGAACAGGGAGAACTTCTTGATCCAACAGATAGCCAGGAGGAGTTGCCGAGCAGTGAGAATTTTAGAAATTCGTTGAGGTAAAGAATTCAAAAGTTTTTAATGATTTTGTGAGGTTTGGTCAAATATTTCAAAAATTAAATGTACTTTTATCTTAAGGTATCGATATTTTAAAGGTTACACATGATTTAAATATGGATGTAAACAATTTTAATGTTTACTTTATTATCATACGCAATATACACTGCCTGTGTGGTTCCTTACATTTATGATTCCCTGCAACTGTAAACTGGTTTCTTTCTCTGCCGAACCATTAAATATATAATATATATTATATATAATATATATATATATATATATATATATATATTGTATACAGTACTGAAGAGTCAAGGCAGAAGACTCAAATTAACTTTAAAGTCATCATATTTTAATAGTTTAAAATCATCTTTTCAGTATCATCCTTGGTGGGTAACCCTGTAGGTTAGGTCGAACACGCTGTATTTTGTTTTTCAAATAATATATTTACTGCAGAGCAAGATTTTTCAGAATTTCAGCTCTTCGGGGACACTCTCATAAAATAGAAAAAAATAAAATATTATGAGACGCATTACAGATCGTTTCTGATCTATTATTTGTGGCATTCATTCGTCAAGGAAATTCTTATTATCTCGAGTCATTTTAAAATCACGCAAAGTCTACAGTTTGGAAATGTCGGAAGGAAGACTTTGGATGTTTTGTGATTATTTTAATATTGAAACCATTTCTTAACTGTCATGTTTCGTGGGACAATCTGTTTATCATTGATTCACCGTCTTAATCCCTGATTTGATAATAAAAATCCCAGCAAACTTTTTTGTACTTTTTTTGTACTTTTTGTACTTTTTGTACTTTTTGTACTTTTTGTACTTTTTCAGGCAACTGTCTATTGGATCTATCGGAGAGGAAAACCAGAATTCTATCAGCATGAAAACAAGCAGAACCTTAAATGGATTAAATACTAAATCTGACGAGGTAAGGTTTTCTAATGGACTACTTGGCAGAGAGAAGAAAGTCACAAAATCTTGGCATTTAAAAAGAAAAAATACACAATGTGTAATCAAAGAAAATAAAGCTATGCAATCTTGACATTAAAGTAATAAAAGTTTGACAATCTGTAAATAAAATATAGATAAATATTTTATCATTTAAGAAAAATTAGCTTTACAATTGAACATTTAGTAAAAGTAAGCTTAAAAATCTTAACATAAAAAATTAAACGGCTATGAAATCTTGATATTAGGTAAAGAAAGCTACAAAATCTTGACATTGAAGAATCGAAATCAATATAATCTTGACATTTAATAAAAGAAAGCTGTACAAAAAGTGGAAATAAAAGAAATATTGATATATCAAAATATTAGAATTTACATATGTACAGGATGCAGATGCTGGCTTCAGTTTTGAATCTGTTCCGACAAAAAAATCTAACTGGCAAACCTACAAAGCCCTGGTTTATGTCAGGTTTATCCGGTAAGAATATGATTTATGTCAGGTTTATCAGGTAAAAACATGGTTTATATCAGGGTAAGAATATGATTTATGTCAGGTTTATCAGGTAAAAACATGGTTTATATCAGGTTTATCCGGTAAGAATATGATTTATGTCAGGTTTATCAGGTAAAAACATGGTTTATATCAGATTTATCAGTTGAGATACATGGTTTATGTCAGATTTATCAGGTGAAAACATGGTTTATATCAGGTTTATCAGATGAAAATATGATTTATGTCAGGTTTATCAGTTGAGAAACATGGTTTATGTCAGATTTATCAGGTGAAAACATGGTGTATGTCAGGTTTTTAGGTGAAAATATTGTTAATGTCAGGATTATCAGTTGAGAAACATGATTTATGCCAGGTTTTCAGGTAAAAACATGGTTTATGTCAGATTTATTAGGTGAAAACATGGTTTTTGTCAAGTTTTTCAGACGAAAACATGGGTTATGTTAAGTTTATCAGATTGAAACAGGTTTCTGTCAAGTTCAGCAGGTGAACACCTGGTTTATGTCAGATTTATGAGATAAAAACCTTCTTAATGTCAGGTTTATGTGGAAAATAAGAAATGGGACTGAAACATGCAAGATTTGTTACGTTTATTTTCTTCACAACAGCTTACAGTAAAAGATAATAAATTTTCTCTCAGATGGAAAAAGATATTTCTTTAAGAAAAGGAGGAGGAACGATTCTTAAATAAAATCAACACTTACAATGGAATTTTATTTTTTATCCAGAAAATTTCGCGAACCCGCCACCATTATTGGACAGATGATAATGCCGCTGATATTTGTAACAATTGGATCATATCTCACGGATTTAGGTGATTATAAATCAATCAATCAATTAATAACAGACAAAACAAGACTATTTAAAGTTTACGGTGATAACCAGAAATATTTGTAGCAATATTTAAGTGTTTACACTGCACTGCTGTGTCCCATGCTTATTGGAATACTTGAGGTCATAACTTGTCTAAAAGTCGTCATCCTATTTCAGAGTTTTCTGGTTCTCACTGTAAAAAGTTTTTTAAAGATTTTAGTTTGAATGTTTAAAAATGATATAATGTTATTCAGGTGGAATAGTAGTTGAACAAGATTCATCCCTAGAGATATCTTCAGATCTTTACTCAATAGATTTCGGTCCAACATACTTTGCCATACAGGTACAGAAGTACGAGGGGAGGAAGGCTAGCCACAACAATTTCTGGTCCAAGCCACCTCAAAATTCTTGTCCTCTCCATTTCATCTTTTTTTTAGTGTCCAATCCTAAGATAAAACAATATTCTAAAAATCTGTCCAATGGGCCATGTTTGACGTCATTCTCATGGATTCGAAGATTCCAACATGATGGAATATTGCAATACTTTTTCTTACCATATTTTGCCCTAACCTTGACAACTGGACAGTTAAAAAAAATAGTTTTTATATTAAAGGATTGGAGTCTTTAAAAACATATTAATGGGAGAACAAATAATTTTGAGGTGGCTCGTACAAGAAATTATTGTGGCTGGCCTTCCTCCCCTTGTAGTACCAGGGTCAGCGTTAAAGAAAAATTTTCAAAATTAAATCTCTGTTTCCTAAATAAGCCATTATAGATAAGGGCTTTCAGATTTAAGTCAAGATAGCATTCTTTAACCGATCTTTCGAATTCAACGTTTCTTAATTCACTGTTTTATACCGAATCTTTAGGTAGTCATTTTGATTTAATTTAACAATTTTTATTTCATATTTTTATTTATTCGCATCAATCCACAAAACAATTATGTTGTATTTTTTTAAATGTTGTATAATTTGGCCTTAGTTAGAGGCAATTTAGCTAAAGCAATGATTTTCTTTATTAATCTCTGATTTTCTAAACACTATGTTTTTGCAACCAAATATTGTGGACCTTAGATCATTTTAATTTCGAATCTCAACACAACTCTCAACTGTTAACTTATGTAAGATTCTTAAAAACTTCCCATTCTCTGAATGATCCATAAAATTAACGAAAAAAAAATATTTTTGAAATCAGTTAATATTGAAGAAATGTTCATGACCTGGATCCGTATCTGGATCTGTTTTAGGGCGGAACCGGATTCGGATCAAAATTAAATGGATCCTAAGCAGTGCCATTAATAACTATTTTGTTTGTTAGGATAATGAGATCAATCTGCCGAACTACCTGGACGGACTGGAAAAATATTTAGGTAAAATAATTAAATTAATAAAAATTTCCGAGAAAAAATCATTTTTTTTACAATTGATCAGGACATCCTCTTTACTCTGTGGCGAACAATGTGTCCTATCCTGATATTCTTGATCTTGTAGAAACCAGGACAGCGACAGGTAAAAACTAATCGGTTAGGGAGAGAGGACCAATCATACAGTCATAACTAGAAAACTCTGGAATCGAAAGACGACTTAGACTTGAGTCATGATTTTAAATATCCCGCTCATAAAAAATCCAACAAAAAATGTATCGATGCTATCAAATAAAAATTTTGAAATGAAATATTTGACTAAAATAGAATACGCAAACGTCAAACACAAGATGTGGTTGGAAGGACGTCCCTAACACTCTGATTTGATTTGATTTAATTCTAATGAACATGAGACACAGCAATTTAGCAGTTTTATGCAATATGCACATGTGCACATTAATTGTGATTTAGCCTACTTATTAAAAATCTTTATGCTCTGTAACATGATCATTTACACTTTTAATATTGGTTTAATGTCGTCTTTCTTTTCCCCAGTTTTCTGGTTTCTTACAGCTAGTTATGTGTATCTTGAGCGGTTAGAAATAATTTGAAGTATGAGGAGTGTTAGGAAGTCTGTGTCCGATGACTATAGGTTTAATTCCGACCGAAGGAGGGAGACCAGCTAAGCGCTTTATTAATAGATTATAAATTCAATAGTTTTGGCCTTTGAACGGTTAGTATAACTATTCACAGAAAACGGATTGACCTTTTATTTAAGTCAAAATAGATTCTATGAAAATAACTTTCGTTTTTTTTTATTAATTAGAAAAACAAAAAGGTTTGACAAAGGTTTTATAAAAAAAGATAAAAGTTAATTTTTTTATTTCAGGGATTTTCAATCTTCTAAACCTAACATCCGACAGAGGTAATCTGAAACACTAAAATGTTTTACTTTTAAAATAAATGAGTTGTTTTTTGACTTAGGGTGATTTTCACCATTTTTTCCTACTAAAGATACCTTAAAAATATGAAATATGTTCTTAAATTCATTTTCGGAATGTATAGCATTAACAGAATTATTTACATTAGTCACAATTTTAGAAAAAATGTGTCGGTCAATTTATGTTCTTTTGCACTCTCCATTTCCATGATTTTTCAATTAATATATCAATTTAAATATTATTGCTGGTTTTATTTGTTCTTTAAGTCGTAACGGGCAATGGGTGACGGATTGAGGTAATTTAAGCCTTTTTTCAGGCCTGGATATAAGCACGAACATATTCAATGATACCGCCCAGCATGCCTTTCCGGTCATCATTAACTCTCTTAGCAGTGCTTACGCATCTCAATATGGGGCAGGTAGTGTAGATAAAGATTGGCATAAATCAATCAATGCTTTGTTTTTGTATGCAAAGGAACTGGTAACTTGGTTCAATTTCGAAGATTTAATTTTTTGTTGATCCAATCCAATAATTTCAATCTTTGACTACTTGAGGTAAATATAAAATAACAAATAAATGAAATTTAGTCTTTGCCACAAACAAAACTTTTCTAATCCCTAAATTTGGTCAACCTGATTAGAAAAACATAGTTACTGTTTAACACTCAATTCCATAGCAAAGTTTTATTTTCGACATCTTCCGCAAAATAGTTCCTAAATGTTCCATCATCTCATGCAATACAATTAGATGTGTTCACATTTTTGTAGCGAAACTTTTGAAGTAGAACGCCAAGCATAAAAATTTAAAGATTGTATTGGGTATTTTAGGTGATATAAATCTGACAAGTCAGCCATTCCGATTAAGCTCATTACCTGCAGGCTTCGATGGAGGCAGTTTTGGAGGCAGCCTTCTTGTAGGTAAGTTAGGCTAGTTTCGGAGGTATTATGCTTAAAGGTGAGTTAATGTATTTTCGGAGGTATTATCCTTGTAGGTGAGTTAATGTATTTTCGGAGGTATTCTGCTTGTAGGGGAGTTGATATATTTTCGGAGGTATTCTGATGTTGGTGAGTTAATATATTTTCGGAGGTATTCTGATGTAGGTGAGTTGATATATTTTCGGAGGTATTCTGCTTGTAGGTGAGTTCATATATTTTCGGAGGTATTCTGATGTAGGTGAGTTGATAATTTTCGGAGGTATTCTGATGTAGGTGAGTTCATATATTTTCGGAGGTATTCTGCTTGTAGGTGAGTTCATATATTTTCGGAGGTATTCTGCTGTAGGTAGTTAATGTAGTTTCAACGGCTTACATGTTTTGGAGGCAGTACTAATTAGGAAACCTGAATGTATGTCAGAGTCAGGAATTAGAACTTCGGGTGAGTCTTTTTTGAAACTTTCAATTGTATTTTAGGAAATTTAATTAATAGTTAAGAAGAAAAGTTTTTATTTTCCTTGAAATTAAATTGTTTGCTTTAAAGCTTGTTTTCATACTTTTTATTTTCAGGAATGACATACATCTTTGTTCCGATTGGATTTGCTATGGAGCTCATTGATGATAGAGAGGTAATATTTAACAAAGCATTTAAAAACACAACAGTGATAACCAGAAATAGGAAGACGACCTTAAAGCAATATTTATAACTTAAGTTTATTTTATGTTGTTTCAAAGAAAATAATTTTACTAGACACTTCTTAAATTACTAATTAGGCGAAATGGGTCTGTAACTAATTACACTGCACAATTTCTATGTCCAATTCTCATTGGATTATTTAAAGTCATAACTTGATTCTAAAAGTCGTCTTACTATTTCAGATCTTTCTGGTTATCATTGTAAGTTTACAGGGTGCTTTGCGCCCATCTTTCTGCTAATAAAATTAGCTGTTTGTTGATCATCTTATTTTGTGGATACTGTATAAAAAAAATCAATATCAGTGAAATTAAATAAATAAATAAATAACATGTCAATTTTTCTATTTATTATAGTGCCATGTGAAAAACCAGCTTCGTGTGAATGGTCTATCTTTCATTATGTATTATGGATCCTTTTACACCGTCTTTGCTGGAATGCTCATAAGTACTTTTTTAAATTATATTACTTATATACAGTGGTCGGCGTTTATATTAATACAATAAAGACGACTTTTCTTTCCAAGTTTTGATTTCTAACAAGGTTTTTCATATGGAAAGTTAATGTCTTAGGTCTTAAAAGTAAACAAAGACAAGTTGTTAAAATGCAATTTTTCTTCGTTTCCATGTTTAATGTTTATGTGTTTCAATATGCTGTTTGAAAGCTTGGTAAAATCAAGATCGAAGTTCGTCTTCATTGTATTGATATATATGACCCCATCTGTATTTTGACGCTGTACATATTTATGGTACTTTTGTTGAAAACACACACTCAAAATAATATTTTGTTTACTACAGTTAGAACCAGGACTAAATAGGGAGACGACTTTTTGACTTCATTCATATTCATATTTTTATTCAACTACAAAACATGAGATATTACTAATAAGCAATCACAATTTACTATGCAGTTTGGACCCGCCTAACCAGGGTTGGTTGTTTTGAGTGGTTGGCCTGAAGTTAATTAACGATACTGAATATAATTGGTTACACATATCAAGTTATGTTTTTGGATAGGTAAGGAGTTGATTGGAAGGAAGGAGATTGTCAGGTGATCTGTGGCAGGGTGAGATCAGAGGGATTTTAATGTAGAGATAAGTAAAAATACAGGGTGTTAAGGATGGTAGATACAGAAACAAAAATAAGCTAATAAAGACTTAAGTTATGACTTTGATTAGTCCTATGATCATGAGACACAGTAAATCTGACGTTGTTAAATGTTTAGCTCTACTCTGTTGCCTGCTGGGTCTAGTGGCAATATTTGATATTTCTTCCTTGATGCTTCCACCGGCATTTTTGGTCTTTGCCAGGTAATAACAGGGTTATATGTATATTTTCTTGAAATAACAGTGGTGTATACTGTATGTATATTTTCTTGAAATAACAGGGTTATATGTATATTTTCTCGAAATAACAGGGGTGTATATATATTTTCTTGAAAAAACAGGGGTGTTTGTATATTTTCTTGAAATAACAGGGGTGTATGTATATTTTCTCCTAATAACAGGGGTGTATGTATATTTCTCGAAATAACAGGGGTGTATGTATATTTCTCGAAATAACAGGGGTGTTTGTATATTTTCTCCAAATAACAGGGGTGTTTGTATATTTTCTTGAAATAACAGGGGTGTATGTATACTTTCATGAAATAACAGGGGTGTATATATATTTTCTCGAAATAACAGTGGTGTATGTATATTTCTCGAAATATCAGGGGTGTATGTATATTTCTCGAAATAACAGGGATGTATGTATATTTTCTCGAAATAACAGGGGTTTATGTATATTTTCTTGAAATAACAGTGGTGTATTTATATTTTCTCGAAATAACAGGGGTGTATGTATATTTTCTCGAAATAACAGGGTATATGTTTATTTTTTCTTCCCCCCACCCCCTTTTTGAGAAAAGATTTTTCCACCAGAAGTAACATATGCTTTTAAGGGTTTTATTTGCTGTATTGGGGAAAATGAATGATTTTAGGGAGAAATAATGAGTATTTGGTAAAAAACGTATTAAAAAGAATGTTTCCGATTTTTCATTTTGTTCTCCCAAATCATTAAAAATCTTTCTGAATAATAATTTTAGAGATTGCTCACCAAAATCTGAATTAGTCCTGTCAACTTAACATATTTGCACTAGTTTTCCCTCTTGCTTAATACTTTTAATAATATTTTTGATAATTTTTCTTAACATATTATGAAAAAAAATATAAATGTAAGATTTCGCAGATTTCTCGGTTTTCGATATTGGACTCATATTTTTTTCAAATCGAAATTCTAATCTTCTACAGTCGTCATCGCATATATCAATACAATGAAGATGACTTTCAATTACAATTTTGTTTTATATCTAGCATCTCGCTGTTTGAGAGTATAATCGCCTATCACTGTATGAAGACATTGTGCGCAATCAGTTCAGAGATTATATTTTTATGGAAACAAGCACCCAGACTTAAAAGCCAAATGTATAAATACTTACATGTTCAAAGATAAGCAAAGTAAATATAATTTTTTAGTTTGTACTTTCTGTACACTGTTCCTTCAACACTGTTTGTATCCTGTATAAGCTACCTCTTCGATACACTGGAGACAGGACAGTTCCTCTTCCCTATATCCAGGTATACCCTGATAGGCTATTTCTGTGAAGACAAAAATTAAACTATTGTATACTCCTATTTTTGTATATTGTAAAAATGTCATGATCTATCGAGGTCAACGGATTTCCTGTAAAACATTTGAATATATTGTAAGGTCTAAGTATCTATTAAATAAGGGCTTTATTTACTAAAACATAAACCAATCAAAAGCCACAAAAAATATGCTCTTTACCAATTAGAAAATGCAGAAAGAAGATTCAGCTGTTTTCCATAAGTAGACCATATTGGTGCTTTAGATTAAAATTGTAAATGTATAAAAGCTTGATAACTCGGACAAATAATTTAGCATTAGTACAGAAAGATAATAATCATGTAGAGTAACACTTCACTTTGTAAATATTCTGTTCCATTAAATTCAGTTCAATTGTACTGTTAATTCCTCCAGGTGGAACCTCTTCTAGGAACAGGAGGCCGGGCTGGTTCAGGATTGATCTTACCTTTAGGGTCGGATACTACTGTAGGCGGTCTTAGTTGCTCAAAATGTGGCTTCTTGCAGATCTCATTCTCGTATATTCTCGTATATTATACGGGTACATTATAAATATAGTTATATGTCCTAAATGTACCAAGCATTTACAATAACTGATTTAACATTAAAGGGGGTGATTGGCTAGATATTGTAGTTGAACTGAGAATGCAGTGTTAAAGCTATAATTAGTTAATAGAATAATATTGACCATCCTAGTGATTTTTGAAGAACGAATTTGCGCTCTAACTTTGCTCTTTGAAAACCTTTTAGTTATAGGTATCAAATGAATCCTCAAAATGCTCTCTTTAACTCTGCACTCTCAATTCAACGACAATATCAAGCCAGTCACTCCCTTTAATAAAATATTTCTGTTTTTGTCAAATAACTTTTTTTTAGTTATGCCGGGTTTATTCCATTTATTGGAGTATTTGTGAGTGATGCTTTTCAAACTCTGGATGGTAACTTAGCTTTAGGTAAATACAAGGGTATTGTTATAAAATAGTGAACTTATAGTAACTTAGCTTTAGGTAAATACAAGGGTATTGTTACAACTACAAAATAGTGAACTTTTAGTCGTCATTCTTGTTATGAAATACTGCTTAATATGCTGTATCTGAATTTTTATCTAATATTGGGTCCTAAAAATGTTTATTGTTTACTAAATAAAATGATTCCACAACTTTCTGGTTTCAATTTTTTACTTCTCCATTATGTACACTATACACTACTCTTTAAAGTTTGTAATCTAGATACTAATTTAAATTAAGTGGGAAAGGAACGAGGAGTCCCTGTCACAAATTCTGAAATTCAAATCCCAATATCTTTGCATCTTAAATGGTGCAATCCTTTGATATTTCAAAAATAGACTGTTTATCTTACAGAATTCATAGGTTGAAAAAGTTAAGGATTACGACACTGGATTGCAAAGATATCGGGATTAGAAAATCCGAGTTTGTTTAAAAAGCTCAGTTCTTTGTCATATTTTTTTATTTAGGTCTTCATATTCTGTTCTCCTTTATATCCCCGATCTATATTCCATTTGGAGTGATCTACCAAACCTCTAAAAAGTATCAAATCTGCTCTTTCATGAAAACATGTGATTCTCTCACATTAAGGTATAGAATATAATACGAGAAATTATTTGCGCTTCTCGCACTAGTGCTTAATAGAATTGACATTTAGTTTGAATAAACCAATTTTAATTTTCTGACTACATAAATCCGGAAGGTTTTAATTGCATCAATTTTTTAAGATTGGATCGACTTTGAAGTGTCACAAAGCCTTGGCCATTGATTTTACCGCAACTATATCGATTATACTTTTGTAGCCCCGGACATGTATATTTTAGAGGTCTAAAGGTCTTGTTTTTGCATAGAAGAAGTTGGCAAAATTTTCATTGATTTTTGGGTTAGTTTTTGACTTTTGGAGCACTGTGCACTAAGACAAAAATGAATAATAGCTATTTTTTAACCATAAGGCTACTTAATGCAATAAACTTAAAACACAATAATTGTGCAATGTAAACAGAATCTTTTCACTTAATAAGTTAATTATTAAAGTACTGCAGTAAAACAGTTTATATATTTATAACAACATGAAATACACATAATATTGCTTATACAGTAATAAAACTCTGAAATAAGAAGATGACTGTGAGAATCAAGTTATAATAAGTCCAATGAGCATGAGATATAGTAATTGTGCAATGTTAACAGACCAATTTCACTAAATTAGTGATTTAGTGAGTGGCTAGTAAAATTATTTGCCTTTTACAACATCAAATGTCGTCTTCCCATTCCATTGTTTTTGGTTATCACTGTATGTCGTCTTCTTATTCCTATTTTATGTCAAAGAAATATTACAGGGTTGTATATTTTCTTTATTATCACCCCCCCTCCTTTTGAAATAATTTTTTTCCCCGGAAGTTATGTTTGCGCGTTAATTTTTTTAGGTTTTTATTCGCTGAAATAGGGAAAATAAATGATTTTAGGGAAAATAAATTAATTTCTGGGTAAAAAGTATCAAAAAGAATTTACCTTTTAAAACGCCATTTAATTTTTTTCCATAAGGGTTAATTCTGAAAAATTATTTTTATATTTATCAGTGACTACATGGATACTGAGATAATTATACTCTACGTCGCAATCCTGTTCCATACACTGCTATGGTCAGCTGTTCTCAAGGTATTGGATCATATTTTTATAAATGGCAATTTCAATTATTTAATTATTTTTTTACATGATATACCAAATATTGATCAGTGATATCTGTTGGCTAAAAACATATCAATTTATCCTCAGCTTGGAACTTTTGAATCAGATTTAACAAAAGACAGGGAATAAAAACTGGGGAGGAGGGAGGGGGAAAGATTATGACTTTTAATAATCGTGAGTTAATTTTATTAGTTACCGGCTCTATTAAGAAATTAAAAATGTAAAAAAATGTGTGTTTAGGCGGTGGATATTGTTAAGGACGGTGGAAAAGTGACAGATGCTTTTAATAAAAGGTAAAAATTGGTGGACACCCCCCCCCCCCATTTCCCCTTCATCGAATAAAAAAAGGTTGTAACATCAATGGAGGGTAATAAAAGTTATAATTTTTAATTTTATTATCTTATTAAATTGATGGTGTAAGCCTACGATATTTATGTATTTGATTGTTTTAAATATTAAAGGTCTACGACATAAACTTGCAAAGATTAGCGGTGATAATATTTGAATTTGTGATTAGTGTCTAGCTCCTGCCAGGTTAAAAACGTAAAATCTGATCTGCATAATCTCACGAACAAATCCTCTAATATCAGGATAATTTATTTTAATATTTTTATATATCATAATAATATTTATTTAGTAATTGTATCACTACACCAAAATTATATACTGTGGGAGTATTCTTTTTAGATTTCTTTTTTTAAAGTGACTTACAGCCAAAGTATGGTAGTTGAACTGAAAATGTAGTATTGTGGAAATACGGTTTAGTAATTATTTGAGACATATAAAACGTTTCAACGGTATATAATTAATTGGTCTGAGCGCATAGTTGACGTTCAAAATCATATATTTGGGTGGGTACTGGGTACGTTTTGAGAATCGATTTTTTTAAATATTGAATAATGACGATGAAAAATGTAATAAATATTCTAAAGTAAACTAACTAGATTTTTAGGAGCAGTAAAATAATTAGAACATATTTCTTAAAAGAAATTTTTCAATTGATAAATGTTAGAATCTATTTTTTCGTTTTCATCATTATATTGAATTTCTTTTCCTTAATAAATTTGTTCGCAGATTTCTACAAATTCTTTAAGAATTTTCGTTACATTTTTTGTCGTCGTTATTTAATAATTTTAAAAAAAGCCGATTCTCAAAACGTTCCCACCCAAATTCACGATTTATACGTCGACTTTGCTCTCAAACTCGTAATTATACGTCGTTATAGAAACGTTTTATAGGTCTCAAATGATTCCTAAAAAAATTTCTCCCCAATACTACATTTTAAGTTCAACCACCATGTATGTGTTAGATTGTGAATAGAGTTTAGTCCGTGAAGCATAGTTAATGGGGAATAATTAGTCTTAATGCATACTGTAGAATTAAACTGTTTAATAACTATAGGTAAAATAGTATTCAAATGTGGTAAGGGTTTTCTTTAATAATTTTTTAACGATTCCAACGGATCGCTCAGCAATCGCATTAGAGGTGGGAGATAGAGAAGCGATTTGAATTTTTTTAATACCTAAACTCTGTAAAGTTGTTTTGAGTTCAGATTTATTTCAAGTAAGATAAAGAATCACACAGTAGTCAATAAATAAAAGAGAAGGATAGTTGAGCAGTTTGATTTTTGAATATTTAAGTTAGAATAAAAAGATTTGCCATTCTCTTACAACCATACATTGCCGGTCACTCCCTTTAATCTCTTACAAGGCCTTATAATTTTCTCATTTTTATAACTCTCTTCATTCCTCCCTCCAACTGCCGTATCATTTCCAACGCCTTATATTATTGAATAGAAAAATATATCTGCTAATGTATATTTTATTTCTATTTCTAATTGATTATTTTTATCTAAAGAATCAATCATCATTTGTAAATGATATTACCTTCTGTATTTACATTTATTCAGGATTAGTATTAGTTTGTGATTTGTATGGAACTATAAAGGTATTAGGGCGCTTCGCCCCCCCCTTTTCTACTATAACAATTATCGTTTAAATTTTGCTTTTTAATTTCCAAATAGTCTTCGTAATGGTAACACTCGGACTTTTCTGTTTGAATTGGCGCATTTATAAAAAAAATGTCGACATGGGTTGAAATCTTTAAAATGTTACAATCCATAAACTTTTTCGTTGTCATGTTAGATTCTGCACAAATCTTGGCCCGTTTTTGTCGTTTTTAGGACACAGACAGACACTTCAAATATAAAGAAATAGATAAGGCTTTGAAAATGTGGACTCTTTTATGATTAAAAAAAGAACATATGAAACATAGCAATTATGTGTAACTGTACACAATCCATTTCAATTAATAATTTAATTTTATGCTAAAGGCATTGCAAAACTAGTTGCTTTAAATTAACATCAAATACATAACAGTGCTCAACAATTTTTATAAAATAATCAATTTATAAATTTAAAACTCCAATGCGCATAATTAGGGATGTTAACGTTTTCATTTTTTTTTTGAAAAACGATCGTTTTTATAAAAATCGTTTACGAAGAAAGGAAACCGACCTGAAGGGAATCTGAACTTATCATTGATCAGTTTTTAAGAAAATATCAAGAAGTTTTAGCTCCCCCTCAACTTTTTAACTTCATGTTAGACGACATTCAATTTTTTGTAAACGACAACCCTTTGTTAACGCTCGTTAATGACCACCCTTCGTTACCGATCGTTTTCATAAATGATTAACAACTCTAAGCATAATACACAGCAATAGTGTAAACAGACCCATTTCACTAAATTAGTGATCAAGAAGTGTCTAATAAAACTATTTGCCTTGTAAACAACATCCAATACACCTGAGTATTGCTATAATGTCGTCTTCCCATGCTATTGTTATATGGTTGTCACTGTAGTACAGATTCTCTTCTTCAAGTTTTACTATCTAGCTATGGGTCTAACAACATATTCTAAATCCTTGAAATTTCATATATCTATTGTAATAACCAGAAAACTGTAGACTAGGAAGACGACATTAATAAAATGATAAAGTGCATTTGATTTAGCTGTGCCTCATGTACATTGGACTATTTAAAGTCATAACTTGTGTGTAAAAGTCGACATCCTGTTGCAGAATTTTCTGGTTATCACTGTAGTTATAATTAATCTATGGTTCAGAGGAAATGAGCATGATGAGGAGAATGTTGATCAGATTGCAGATGAGGATACGGAGGTTAAACTAGAGAGGGATAGGGTGGCAGAATACTTTATTAACAGGTTCTTTTATTTCTTATTCACTTCCTCAACAGAGAGATTGTTACCACCTTTTCACCCACATTACCCACAGATGATTCCCCAACAGAGGGTGGTTATAACTTACTCAACGTCCCTTGGGACAGTTATGTCAAATATCCACCCGCTCTGCGAAGTTTTCACGAAAAAAAATTGGCGCATTTTCATCTGATAACACGTTAAAATTGTGTACAACTATGTTCTTTTTCGGGAAATTACAAATTATACTTAACCACGAGTTCCAGTAACCAATTTTGCCTACAAAACATCTCTCGCTGCACTATTGATACTGTGGTGGCAAAATTGGTTTCTGGAACCCTTTGTCAAGTTAAATTCCCTCAACTTCCCTGTAAAATAGTTGAAAATAACCATTATTCCATAGTAAGGGGAAAACGTTTTCAAAAGGTTCGGGATTATATGTTTCTAAAGTACAATTTTAAATTATATCTTCTTTCATACAATATTTTGACCATGGTGTATAGAAAATAGAAATGTTGTCGTAATTGTATGTATGAGAGCGTTTTTTTTAAGTGACTGATCTTTTTTACAATGGTTATGAAAGATTCGAAATGATCATTGCATTTGTTTAAATATGGTTCCCTTAACCCTAAACAGCCCACCCCCCCATAGTTTTTTTGTCCTAGCACTCGCATTTTTGTACTATCATCGTGAAATTTTGGGAGTTTTGATGAATAGTATTGTAAAGGATTTTTCGTAATTTTTTTTTTAATTTATAGGGTAGAGTACAGGGCGGAAAAAAGTCTGGTCTGTGAAAAAAAAACCTAAAATAGCCCATAACATTTTTGTCACTAAAGCTAAAGATCTAAATCTATATTTTTGAAAAGCCCTTGAAAAAGGCATATAGAAACATGTGTCACACTTTGATATTTGTTTAAAACAACACAAAAATACTTTTTTAATTTTTTTGACCATTAATTAAGTATTTTTTTCTACCCTCTTAAGCACCCAAACTATCAAAGTCATTGGTCTAATTTATTTTCTTTGAGCTGGCCATGAAAAAATGGGCTATGAACATGTATTTCAACCCTATACCTATTCTCTTAGGCCTTTTCTAGNGACCCCCCAGCCTTTATAGGGTTAATAGCGTTGTCTGATAAAGTATAAATTAGATATCCATATTTTTTTGTTGTTGTAATTGATAATATGGATTTGTGGTTTCTCTCCATAAGTGATTGCGTATTTCTTGCTTCAGAAAAAAACTGTTAAAAATTTTTTTAGAGCCACTATTGATCAGATGCTATTTACAGGGTACCGTTTGATTTTGGAATACCTCATTATAAATGGAGGGTTTTGACAATCACAACGAGGGCTTGTATAGGATTTTGTATTTTGTAACCGATTTATAGAATTCTGAACTGTAAAATAATTTATCAAAATAAAAAAAAAAAATTTTCACTGAATTGGATTTATTTGTTTTTCAGAAAAATTCCTGAGGAAACTCCAGTTATTGCAGTGCATGGTTTGAGGTAAGAATTCATTGAGATGAAATTTTTAATTATCTATTATTTGAGGCAGCTCTCAGTAAATAGACTAGATTTTAATTATCTATTATATGAGGCAGCTCACAGTAAATAGACTAGGTTTTAATTATCTATTATTTGAGGAAGCTCTCAGTAAATAGACTAGGTTTTAATTATCTATTATTTGAGGCAGCTCTCAGTAAATAGACTAGGTTTTAATTATCTATTATTTGAGGCAGCTCCCAGTAAATAGACTAGGTTTTTGTATTACAACCGATCTTTTTAAATCGGGAGAAAAAAACAAAGCTGCATAAATGAATTTGTAGGTTCACTGGGGAATAGCACAGAAGGAGGACCTATAAAATTAGTATATATATATTCCTTTTAGGGGTATTATTTTAAAAATATGGAGGACAAAGCTTGTTGAACAGATTAAATTTATTTGTAAAATATTTAGGAAAGTGTTTACAAGCGGAGTGGATACTAAACGATCCTGTCTAAAGTAAATATCGTCTAAATATTATATTTTGTGTCAATTGCAGGGGCGTATACAGGGATCGTTGAAGATTGAATGAAGACTCCCCCAAACCCTTCAAAGGTGTCCTAGAACATGAAAAGGGTTAAGCTCCTGTATACGCCCCTGATTGTATAAATTACAAAGTTTACAAAGTTATTATTATCATCGGAGGCTGGCCAGAGGTCATTAAAGGCCAATTCATTTTAATTAGAGGCCCATTAATAATTTACCTAACATGTACGGATTTATCGTACGAATTATCTTTAAAGAAAATATTATAAGAACTGATTACTTGCCACAAACAAAATCATTACACCTTTGCAAGCTAATTATTGGTGTAAAACTTTTGAGTTTTTGATCTAGCAGAATTTATAGTTTTGATTTTCGACATCAGCTGTTGCTAAGAAATTAGGTTTTGAAAAATAAAATTTGTTGCGAGTAAACAGTTCCTTTGTAAATTGAAGATTAAAATTTAGTTTCTAAATATGCTTTAAGCCCCTTAGCATGATTACCTTTGTTACAAATAATTATTGAAACCCAATGGAACCAAGGAGTATGAAATAGAAGGGAGATACAACTGACCTGGCCCGCCCTACCTTATGATTATACATGCTTCGGAGACGGTACTCCATTTGAATAAGAAATATCTGTCTAATGTAAAATTACCGCGTATATACAATAACCTATTCTGAATATTTCTTATACAAATGGAGTACCCGTCTGCAAAGCATTTATAATCATATGGTAGGGCGGGCTGCGTCCGTTGTATCTCCTTGAGCAGGAGCACATCCAAGAGAACAGCCAAATTGAAAATCTTCAGTTCAAGGATCACTCTCCTTTTTCACAAATAAAATCTGAATTAACTTTAAGTATTTTTAGGAAAAAGGATTCTGAAGTATCAAAAAAGATTGCTGTCCGAAATCTCTCGATGAGGTATAAAATGGCATTTATTAAAAAAAAGTTTTCCCATTTTATCCCTGAAATACAAGCTCTGGAAACACCCTGAAATAAAAGATCTGTATTCACCCTGAAGTACAAGCTCTGTATACCCCCTGAAATACAAGCTCTATATTCACCCTGAAATACAAGCTCTGTATACACACTGAAATACAAGCTCTGTATACATCCTGAAATACAAGCTCTTTATACACCCTGAAATACAAGCTCTGTATACACCCTGAAATACAAGATCTGTATACACCCTGAAATATAAGTTCTGTATACACCCAGAAATACAAGCTCTGTATACATCCTGAAATACAAGCTCTGTATACACCCTGAAATACAAGCTCTGTATACACCCTGAAATACAAGATCTGTATATACCCTGAAATACAAGATCTGAATACACCCTGAAATATAAGCTCTGTATACACTCTGAAATACAAGCTCTGTATACACCCTGAAATACAAGCTCTGTAAACAACCTGAAATATCCCTATATCTGATTTCAGTGTTAAATGTGGTGAAGTGTTTGGTTTGCTAGGGCACAATGGTGCGGGGAAAACTACAACGATGAGGAATTTATATTAAAAACCTTTTATCTTTAGATTTGAAAATTCAATTTTGAAATACGCTGACCATAGATTAATTAAAATATAAAGATAGAACACTAGATGTCGTCTTTTCAAGATTGGGATGAAACTCGTTAATAATAACCCTGAGGCAGAAGCCCAGAGGAGTTTCGCACTGCACAGTCAGCGTAGGAATAGGCTCTCGCTGTCTTCTTAGTCTACGCCGACTGCGCGAAACTCCTCTGGGTTTCTGCCTTAGGGTTATGGTGAACGAGTTTCATCCAAATCTTGAAAAGACGACAACTAGTGGGCTGTTCGTTATTTTAATTAATCTATGACGCAGACAATCTTTAATGGAAAAGGGTTCCCCACAAAGAACGACTGACGAGACATTATTGACGACCAAATCTTTTTAAATATGAAGGATCTCCAGGCTGAATTCGGTCTACTGAAAAGAAAACAGTCTTAAAATTTTACATTTTTTAAACTATAGACAATTATTTTGAAATAAAAAGATGATTGTAGATGCAATTATATTCTGGCAGAACCTACCTGGTGACAGACCATTGACATTTCTACATTTCCGATTGTCTTTCTGGGCATGCATCTTCAAATCATGTTCTTGGCTAATTTTGAATAAGAAAAAATTGGACATCCCTAAGCGCCAAATTTTTACACGTTTCAAAACTTTTTTGGAGACACAACTTCGTATAAAAATAGTCTTATAACTTTAAGCATTTAGTTAATAATAATGTGCAAAGAAAAAACTAGGCTTTCAGGGCTCTGCTCGCCACTTTTTTAGTAAGAAATTATCTTTTAACTCTAGCTGTTGGTTTTCAAGTCGCCAACATTTCTTCGTAATTCTCATAATTAAGAATTTCGCAGATTTTTTTATTAAAGTTCATGAATTTCCTAAAATCGTTTGAGTCAATATTTTTTTCTGAACCCACTTTTTTTTTACTTTGGACCAGCCTTGACAACCTTTCCTGTGGTCATGTTAGTTGGCACACAAATATTTTGGCTTGATCGGTTTCGTCTTTTTAATGTTTGAGATCTTCTTTGTACATTATAAACAACCCGCAAAGCAAATTGTAGAAGATTTAAACTGTTGATTCAAAAATTTAAAATTATGAAATGTTTTGATTGGGTAATATTTTTCGACTGATAAAGAAGCAAAACTAACTATGGGATTGTGAAATTGAGTTTGTCAGATTTAAGCCAATAAACAAGCTAAATTATAGAAATAAAATTAATGTAAATTTAAAGAATAATAACTGCTGAGGAGGGAGCTAGTGCTGGAAAAGTTCGGATTGGTTCTAAAGAGATTCACTCAAACCAATCTGACGCCTTCATGGTATGATAATAGTAATGGTTTGAATATTATCTATATAATCTATAATATTATAATATTATCTATATTAAAAAACAAGACATTCGTATGTTCCCCCTGGCCGGCCAAACGACTGAACCGAATGGGCTGAATTTTTTTGTGGACACTAATTGGTAGCCTGGGGTGACATAGGCTAACAAAATTATAATTTTTTTAAAATTCTTTTACATGTTCTTTTTCCTCGGGCAACACCGAGCCCTTCAACTAGTTGCTAATAATTTTGTTGATTTTTAGCTATAATACTGTTAACACCGGTAATGTTTCAACATTTAAAAGGCATTTAAACGTAATTTCAAGTGACCCTCCAGTCTCCTTGCACAGATTGCAATGCCAAATTCACAATGGTACCCTTTGTCGATCAAGGAAAAGTTAGATTTCAATGTAAATTTTAAAAAATAATAATGATTTCTCTACAAAAGTGACTTATGCACTGAGGAAAACTGGGATAATAGCTTATTTATTATTTATCATATTAAGGTTTTAAGGGTAATGTTGTGAATCGGGCATTAGCATCTTTGCATTGAGGATCACTTTGAATTAAGCTTATTGGACATTTGGAGTGATAATTTAATTTGAGAAAAAACCATAAACAATTAAAACAAAACCATAGCCAGGGAATAGATTTAATGAATAGCGAGGAGTAGCTGAACCGTGTAGGAGTCGTTCAACCACTTCTCTGTGAGCCGTGGTTTGGTTGAACCACGTCTACGCGGTTCAGCCAAGTCTTACTATTCATTAAATCTTGTCTCCGAAAATAAGGCTAATAGGATAGCACTCCAATCTGCAAGGCAGGAGGAATTAAATATGCTATAATGTCTAGTATTGATTTTATATAATAACTAGCTAAAGGGCCCGGCGTTGCCCGTAAAAAATTGAAAAAAATATTTTGAAAAAAAAATTCGATTTTTTTAGCCTATAACATTCCCGGATACCCATGAGTGTCCACAAAAAAATATAGCACAATCGGTCCTGCTGTTTGGCCGGCTATAGACAATATATATATAAACGAATTCGTTGTTTTATTATAATAAAAACAATAAATTTTTTTAGCCTATAACACCCCCCGGCCACCCATGAGTGTCCATGAAAAAGTTCAGCCCAATTTGGTCCAGCCGTTTGGCCGGCTATACGCAACATATGTGTATACGAATGTCTTGTTTTATTATATAGATAATATGTTTTGTCTGTAAATTTGAATTAACAAATATTGTTTTTGCATTTTTCGGACGTACTTGTTAAAATTTTTTTAATGAGTGGGTCTGGAAGAAAGGGACCATTTACGTTTATCACATTCTCCTATCTTAACTCTAAGACAAAGATAGCACAACCTGTTCAGGGTTAACTTTTAACAGATTTTTTACCTTTAGGAGCTTGGTTACTGTCCTCAGTTTGATGCTCAGTGGAAGACGATTACAATCGAGGAACATTTAGAAGTATTTGCGGCAATTAGAGGTGTTCCACCCTCAGCGATAAACAATCTTGTTCAGAGGTACTTAGTATTATTAATAAAAGGCTGTCAGGACGCTTCGAGCCTTTTTTAATATAAATGTAAGCTTTAAATATCGTATCTTAACAAACTGTTATTTCTTTGTGCATCTATAAATCATAAAGGAATTGAGTCTTCGTCACAAACTCGTAAAGAGATTAGAAAATTTAAGTTCATGGCAAAGAATTAATTCATTTTGTGGATATTCCTGTTCGCATTTTAACATTGATGGACTTTGAAACAAAAATTTGTATTGGCATTTATTACTATTGATTAAGGGTACTATATGTAATGTAATTTTAAGCTTCGGCACTTTGCATAGTCTTAATATATTTGCAACCTGTAATACTTAAAACTATGAAATTTGAATTCTCCGAAATTCAATTTCAAAGTTGAAAATATCAAAGATTCACACTTTTACAGTGGCGCAACTAGCACAGAAATATTAAGGATATTGCATGCATATCTTGTAATGGACACTAAATTCAAAACATTCAAAAACAAAATAATTTCTTGCTCTTCCTTCCTTGTGTACTTTATAAAATGAATTAATCATTTGATGGGGGTTACGGGGGGCTAGGCCCCCTTCGAAAAAATAAAAATATAAACCGCTACAATTTCTGGATTTGAAGAAAAAAACATAATTTTTTAATTGTTGAAGGGTTGGCTCTGTGCTCAATAATATATACCAAATTCTTTTGATATCCATAGCTTGTTCTTGTGTTAAAAAAATATATATATTTCCAACAACTTCAAAATGAGCGACATTAGTAAATTAAACATGTGCGCGAAGCGCCAAAAAATTCAGTTCATCTAGTGTCTTTTTATGTATTTCTTAGTGTCTGTTAGTTAGTCCCTGGCTTAGTCATATTCTCCATGTATATAAAGTCCTCTATTACAGTCTACAGCAAATTTTTATAATTCATGCACTAGTCATGTGTCCACTATATAGTCCCTAATTCGTAGGTATGTGCAGACTTAAGTATTATGTAGTTCCTGGCAGTACTTGACTATATATTTCGTCTCCATTAGCCATAATAGTCTTTTTGATCGAAGTCCCTCGGTCCTTTTTGCCAGTAAGGGGCTTACCCTGTTTTCCTCTTATAGTCTACAAAAGTCCTAATAGGCTGATATTATCCTTATTACATTTCTATTCATTCATTCTTAGGCGAAGCGCCTAAGAAACAAATTTGGTATTTTTTTTTCATTGACAAAATTTGATAAAATATGGTCCACAATCATGATTATGTTGGAGTCAAATGAGGGGGCGAAACTCGGTCCCCCCCCCCCCCNTTTTACGTTGCAAAGATAAATTGATAAGAAAACTATATATTTAAAGCAAATAGAAGCTCCTTTGCATAAAACAGGGGCTTAAATTCTTCCAACAATTTGTTAAGAATCTCCATCTGTGCCCCCATGATTAAGTATTTTTCACTCAACTCATGTACATTTGAATCCGAGCTGTACCGACCTTTATGGTCCTATGTTGTACTGCCTCGCCCGGTACACCAACTACGCTGGCAGAAATATGGCAGGGGTCAATATAGATAGTCTAGTTTGGTAAAGCTGAAGCACCCAGGTTGACTCGGTCCGACGTTAGGCTGCATCTTGTTAAAAAGCCACAATTTCATTTGCAGGTATATGGATGGGCTGAGAATAACAGAGCACAGGAAGAAGCTCTCAAAGAACTGTAGTGGGGGCACTAAACGAAAACTAAGCTACGCTATGGCTATGCTGGGAAACCCAAAAATAGTTCTATTGGGTAAGTATTAAAAACACAGTAAAGTGAGCCTGGTTAATATGTTCACCATAAATGATAACTGAAAATTGCGCAAAATTTATAAAAAAACAATCTTTTTTATATTTTTCAATTTGAGTTTCCTTAAAAAATTGTGCTTAAGCAGTTCAGTCTTTTTGTCGTTTATTAGATACAAGTAAGCAGAGAGACAAACCGACTAACAAGCAAATTATAAATTTAAATAAACAAATAGAATATCAAAATAGAACCTGAAAACTGAAGAGTTCAAACTTTAAAGTGTAAAATAATTCTAATTCTAAATTTACTTTCTATATGTATATATTTACTTTCTGAATATTTACTTTCTATATTTATTTCGAAATATTTCTTATGCTAAATTCTGCAAATACAAAACTCAATTTTGGACAAATTTCTTATTTGACAAAGAGAGACACGAGTTTACAGCTGCAGCTAGCAGAGAACTATGAATGTAGAAAAATAACTGAAAATATTTCGTACAGTAGTCTTGATAAACTTCTCAGGATAGGTCGTCATTAAAGTAAACCCTGTATTATATACCATCACTTAGAGTAATTATCTCATTAGTGCACTTGGAAAAGGTTTAATCTGTTGAAACGAGTTGAACAAATTTAATCAAGGAGGTTAGAAAGATACAGGCTAACCCACAGAGGAGAGACGACTGCACGGACTTTATGCACACTTTATTATTACATTCATGACATCCTGCAACTTGTTTTTATTCCTTATGAAATCTTTAAACTTTAACCTGTAAAAATAGAAGTCAGAACCCCAAACTCAACCTTGAAATCGTTCTACAGGGTGTCCCACGAAACATGACAGTAGCAAGACGAATTGAAGGTCGTCTTTGATCTTTGAAATAATTTTCTGCATTGAGTCGTAAACCTAATTATCAATAAAAAAATAACCATAGTCTTGGCATTTCCAATATGTGGTGTACCTTATTTTTGCTGTCAATGTCACCAGAAATATGAAGTTCAAGTCCTTCAGATTTCGATTTTTTTGTTTAATAAGATTAAGTCAATTTTTTTCAATTTTAAATGTTTTTTATAATTTACAAATGGAGGACCACTTGAAAAAAAAACATTCTACGCTCTTTAATTTGAATAATTTTATAACTTTTCCCCTCTATTTTTAGATGAGCCCAGCACTGGAATGGATCCACAATCCAAACGTTTTGTCTGGAACACAATCCAGGTAGCATTATGCATTACAGGAGCCTGGGTAAAAACTCCTAGAAGGATCTTTTGATTCAGTTTTGAGCAAAGAGAAAAGAATATATATTAGAGTGGAATTTAGAAAACCCCTCGGTATGATTTTTTTCAGTCCCTTTCAGCCTGAAAGGGAGTTCAAAGTGTACAAATCATGTAAATGTTCACAAATTATATGCAGTAGAGTACATTAATACAGTATGCTCCCTAGACTATTCATTTCAATTTCGAATTTTTTAAAGCTGTTAAATAAACTTTATAAAATGAATTAATCATTTGATTTATAGTTAAAACTGAAAATCATCGTTTGTAAAGTGAAAGGCATAGAGTCTATGTGAAATGATCATTGGTCAATTATGAAACCAGCCTATTTCATAATTTGGTTTTCTTTTAATGTCAATTTTAGATTTTCTATTAAATTATGTTTCAGGGCCCAAAAGGTTATATAGCACAAATATGTGAAGTACACTTGCAGTATGGAAACAGTACAACAAAATGGCCGTTTTACACTTTTTTCTAGTAAATTCCATTCTAATATATATTTTATTCTCTTTGGTTTTAAGTCACGTCAAAGTGAGTGCAGTGCACGTATGATTAAAATCTATGTTTTCAATCATAACTCCTCTTTTTGAAGAGCTATTGAGAAGAACAGAAATAATTTAAATTTCTAATAAATAATCAGATAAATTTATTTTACTGATACTTGTGCGTGAGATTAAATATCACGAAGTTTCTCTTCTCCTTTTGTCTAGTTTGCGGTGAAGCTATAACATCAATTTTTTGATTTTCACGTGTTATGCCCTCTTCAAGCAACATCTTTTAGCCAATTGTTATGTTCTATGTTCTGTCGAAAAATGTTTTAAACCAGCTTTATGTTAATCTATTTTCAAATATTTCTCAGTACTATATGTTTTAAATTTTTTTGTGTTGTGAATGCCAAAATATTAATTAGAAGTAAAAACAAAACATAAAAAATATTAATGGTTTACATAATTAGGTTTTAAAGAAATAAAAGTGAGGTTTTGTGACAAGTTTTTAATTTCTTTGTTAAATATAATCAAAACACAGTGATAACCAGAAAACAATGGAAAAGGAAGACGACATTGTAGTAATACGTCTTAAGTTCATTTGATGTTGTTACAAGGTAAATAATTTTTCTAGACACCTATAAAATCACTAATTTAGTGTAATGGGTCTGTTTACACTGCACATTTGCTGTTTCTCATTGAATTTCTAAAAGTTATAACTTTAGTCTAAATTTCTTCTTACCATTTCTGGTTATCACTATAAGGATTTTTATCTTACTAGTCTTTTAGAGCGCTTCGCGCCCATCTTCTATTTCAACTTTTAATTGTGGCTTTATCTGTGAGCATCTTCTCTTTGAACAGTATAAAACAAAAACAAACAAAATTTTGCGGATTTCATAATATTTTTTCGGATATTTTCAAAATTTTACAAAAATAAAACCTTTTAAATACAATTTTTTAAAATTTTGATCATTCGTAAACCTTCCCAGGGGTCACGTGAGGCACCACATAAAATTTGGGCCCGATCGGTTCAGCCGTTTTGGTAATCTTGAAAATTTGCTTTTTTTTCAATAATCTGGACTTTGTGGTTGAAAGGATAAAATATCTTCAGTTTAAAATTATTAAATATTTTATATTTCAAAATTCTTTTGAATATAGTGAAGTGACTGAATTTTGGCATCTATTGCATAACATTTGGAGCATTTGACCTTAGGCTTAAAGGGACTGTATACATAATGTTAGCTGGGACGCTTTATTCATAGAGTGGCATGCCCGATTCACAAACCTACCCTTCACAACGTTTTCATATCAAGAATGAATGAGATATCCATTTTTTTCTTTTGGTTTTCTTTAATATAATGCAGATTTCTGCTGAAGAGACAATGGAGAATATTGTCAGAATTAAACACTTTTCAGACTAGAAAAGTGGACGATAAGGTTTGATGTGTTTAGGACCCTCTTTAAATAGAAGAGCATTAGAAAACAAAACGAAGGTTCCCAAGAGAGAATGTTGAGTAATTTTGTAAAATACAAAATTTTAAAACTTGAATCAAAATCTTAAAAGCTCTGAGATTTGGAAATCTAAAGAAAAGGAAACATTTAAGGAACTACTGCTGACTTAAAACTTGTAGTTTGTGGGACTAATAACAAAACAACAGAATATGTACATATGTACAGTGATAACTAGAAATCTGTAGAATAAGAAGGCGGCTTTATAGCAATAGTTAGTGAATTCGATGTTGCTACAAACAAATAGCTTAACTTGTAAGTTATTAAATCAATTATTTAGTTAAATGGGTAGCAGTTTACGCAGCATTTGTCTCATGTTCATTGAACTATTTAAAGTCATAACTTGAGTCGAATTCTTATTCCAGAGTTTTCTGGTTATCACTGTACTACCCACGCCATGATGTTATTTAAGGCAAGTAGTAGTCATTAACACACTCCATGATTTTATTTTATGCTTTATAAAAGAATGAGCTGTCCTAAGCTAATTCTTGATGTTATTCTAGGCCAGCTTTAAAAAAGAAAGAGGAGCAGTCCTAACAACTCACTCCATGGAAGAGGCTGACGCCCTCTGTTCAAGAGTTGGAATCATGGTGAAAGGGGAACTCAGGTTAGTTGATATTACAGACCATGTTTCACTTTATTTGTATTCATCTAATTTCTTTTTCCACTTACTGCAAACATCCGTTCTGCGTTATGAAATATTAAGGATATTGCATGCATATCTTGTAATGGACACTAAATTCAAAACATTCGAAAACAAAATAATTTCTTGCTCTTCCTTCCTTGTGTTACTTTTAATTTTTAATTTTTAATTTTTAATTAGTTTTTTTTCTTGCTCATTGTTGGAATTCCAAAAATTGGACCAGCAGTAAAATCTTCCTCGGGTTGTGATCAGTTCAGGCGTTAATGTCAATCATACATAATTTCAAAAAGCAGAGACAAGCCATTTATAATTAATATATCTGACAGTTTATTGTTGGATGCTTGGAGCTTAAACATTTAGTGATTTTCCTTTAACTCTCTAGAGCCCTGGGAACTACACAGCAGTTAAAGAACAAGTATGGAGCTGGATACTTACTGGAGGTCAAATGGAGGTCGGGAGACAATCCAGATTGGGGGGCATTGGAGGACAGTTTAAAGGTAGAGTTTTTGTTAAAGTGGAGGAAAATTTTAAGGTATGATTTGTGTTCCATTGGAGGAAAATTTAAAGGTAGGATTTGTGTTTCATTGGAGGAAAATTTAAAGGTAGAATTTGTGTTTCATTGGAGGAAAATTTAAAGGTAGAATTTGTGTTATATTGGAGGAAAATTTTAAGGTATGATTTGTGTTACATTGGAGGAAAATTTAAAGGTAGGATTTGTGTTTCATTGGAGGAAAATTTAAAGGTAGGATTTGTGTTTCATTGGAGGAAAATTTAAAGGTAGAATTTGTGTTATATTGGAGGAAAATTTAAAGGTAGGATTTGTGTTTCATTGGAGGAAAATTTTAAGGTATGATTTGTGTTACATTAGAGGAAAATCTAAAGGTAGAATTTGGATTAAAAATTCGAAAGGTAGAATATGGAGTGAATTGGATGACAATTTAAGGACAGAATTTGGAATATATCAAAGAACAATTTAAAGGTAGAATTTGTGTTACATTTATAAACATTAGTAGGTTAAACAGGATAAAGAATTTAAATGACAATTTAAAAATAAAAATTCTGTTCTTCAGGAAAAAATTTTAAATTGAAATTCTTTTTGATTTCAATCATAATAAGGGGGTAAATATTTTTTTTAAATGACTATCTTTGTTTAGGAATATTTTCCCCTAATGGAGGTAAATGAAACCTTCTCTGATCGACGCAGCTACAATATTCCCCAGGAAGGGTTTTCCTCACTAGCTCAAGCTTTCTCCAGGCTAGAGACATGTAAGAATTATTGTCCTGCCGCCGCATATGTATTCCTTCTTTGGGGTAGATTAATTTTTAATTGGTTCAAGGATGATTTATGCATTCTTCAGGGGTGTTTATTTTCCTGAAAAATCATTTCCCCCCCACCTCTTTTAAAAATTATTTCCCCTCCCTCCTTCTGATGTTCTTCCAGTTTTATTTGCTGTGTTGGGGAAAATAGATTAATTTAATTGTGGGTAAAAAGTCTTCAAAAATCATAATTCTTAAAAGCTCAAGTATATTTATTGCTGAAAAGGAACTGAGTGGTTTCCACAAAGTCTGGTGTTTTAATACCTATATCTCTACAACCCAATGTGATAGACCTTAGATAATTCAAACTATGAATTCTGTCTGATCAAATATTCTAACTTTGAAATATCAAAGGTTTCTATACCATCAAGTTAAAATGTTAAAGTGGATAGAAAATTGGAGTTTGTGGCAAAAACTCAAGTCCTTTATCAGATATTAGCTCAGAGAGAGAACATTTTTTTACCTTAAACCTTTGACTTCCCCGAAGTAACTTTTATTTTATTTTATTTCCTAATCAATTGTTTTTGGTCTAGTCTGCTGAATCTGAAATGAACTTTATTTAATTTATTATTTTCTTTTTTTTGTTCAAGTTTTATTTTTCAGGTAAATCCGAATTCCGACTGGAAGACTACAGCTTTTCTCAAACTACCCTAGAACAAGTATTACAAATTTTATCTTCGATTATATTTTGAAACTTTTCAGCAAACTTTTCAAAGTTCAATCATTTATTATCAAACAATGAAAAAAAAATTTTAAAACCCGGCTAAACAACAACAAGCACAAAATATTGACAACCTCCCTTATTGAAATGAAAATACTCTAAACTGGGGACAAAGATCAAAACTGCAACATCGATCAATGTCGAAATTGATTAAAATGTAGACATAAATCAAAATGACGACATAAATCAAAATGGAGACAAAAATAACATTTGCAACACAATGTAAAAAGAAGGGCAAACTTCAAAATGGCGACAGCAAAAAAATGGCGGTTTTTTAGGTTTTTATTGAGTTTGCAAAACAGCAAGAGGCCGAGGACAAGAAGGATAAAGAGGGTAATAAGAATAAATACTTTACAGAGAAAGAAACTGATTGATCAAACTCGATATACTAATTCTTTTTTCTTTGCAATTGGTGGCGAAACCATTGTAATTTTAGACGCGCACGCGCACCTTTAGATCTAGTTAAATTTATGAATTGTTATAAAGAAAATGGTACGACATCAAGTTGCAAAGGATTAGTAAATGATAATTTGTTACGAGTTATATGTTTCTTTAAAGCAAAGTTTTCATGATAAACACATTTCATTTAAATGATGAGAGAAGGTGATGCTTAGATAAGGATGTAATACTCTCTGAACCTTGAAGAAATTCAGGATTCAGACATAATTGTCCAATTCCATTGTTCAACCATCTTAGTCGTTTTTTGTAGTATACTAATCTACTAGTATCTAATTCTTGTTTGTTAACTTAAACCTGCAATGATACTCATGAAATATGAAATTGGGATACGACATTTATGGCATCTTGTGTGTAATTAATGGTATTCATAATTTTACCTGATGCTTTAAAATTGACTTATCTGCAGTCTGCGTCGTATTTATTAATACAGTGAAGACGACTTTTTACTGTTATTTTGATATCTACGAGGCTTTTTAACAGGAGAAACACTAGCATATTTACACAAAGGAAAGTTGTCAGTTAACAGCTTCTCAAAGTTTACTTGTTTGTTGAAAAATCCTGGCTAGTGATCAAATCATTATAAATAAAAAGACGTCTTCGTTGTATTGGTACAGAGCGTCCCATATCATATTAGATTATCTCCAATCTTTAACACCAAAATAAACCCTCAATACTCGAAAAACTTATCATTTTCCACAAGAAAATTCTTATATAAGCCTTATGTTATTTTTCAAAATGATTCATTCTAATGAAATTTTCTAATTAGTCCCGAAAATCGTAATTTAGACCCGTTCTCGGTCTAATATGATGTGGGACACCCTGTATAATCCCAGCTGCCACTGTAGTAAACTGGGTTTGTGTATAGTGTAAACACTAAGGTGTCAACAGAGGAGAAATTTCAGAAAATGGACGCCATTGCACTATTTACAGTGCGAGCACTAATCTAACATACAGATAATTTTCTTCAAAATTGTCCAGAAAAACTAAATTAGTTGGAATTTTTAAAAAATTCGAAATTTTTACAGGGTTTGGTAAAAAATGCACAATTTTGACGGATTTTTGTGTTTAGATAATTTTGTTAAAAATATTTTAACTTATACTATTTCCTTAATCATAAACGAAGAAATGAGAACAATCGCTATCCTCCCATCCTTAGTTCTATTTGTGTTGAGTATTTCTGTTGTGCTTTTGTAAGAAATATTTAAACCTATAAAATGTTAATAAACTTAATTTGAGAAAAGACTTTCATAACACTATTGCCAATTACAAATAGGCCAAAATCTTGTAAGATAAAATCTTGTTGGGAAGAAAAAATTATTCTTAATTCGATTTTTTTAATTTCACGGGCAACGCCGGACATTTCAGCTAGTTTGTAATATTATTCGTAAACTATGCGAAAATAAGAATCATGAATATGTTATGTATTATGTATATCTATTGTATTGTTAACTGTGATACCATTTGATAATAATAAATATCTACATATATATACAAAATTTAAACCTCTGTTGTCTGTTCAATTTGCCTCTAATTTGGATTGAAAAACTCGGGAGAACCTCGGGAATGTAATTTGCTTGGGTTTAAGATTCTAAGAAGGAAGAAATATCTAAAATTGTAAAGCGCGGGTAAACGGCGGGAATGATTATAGAGAACCGGCATGGGCAACAATGGATTAGCAAGCAAGATATTGTAGATTTATGAGAATTATAATTTTAAACGAGTGAGCTGCTAAAATAAAATTTTTTATCTTTGAACCTACCATATTTATTTCTATTCTACTCATTCTACACTCTAAATTACGAAATATAAAAAATGGATGCCGGTTAAATAATACCAACCAAAAAAAACGCTTTATTTGACAGTTATCGAACTTTTGGTAAAGAAAAGCGATTTTTTAAATTTCTGCTATCTGTGAGAATTACGATAGTATATGAATATTTTACGGATTGTTCATTGTTATTTTTAGGAGCCATTTTGTACAGATAAATAATTTTGAAAATTTCGCGGATTTTTTAGTTTGAAAAATTTCAAATGTATTTTGATTTTCGTCCGAGCCTCATTTTCTCACTTGAACCACCTCCAAAAACTCATCTGTGCAATATACATTTTTTTTAAAGTATTGAATTCTTTGCGGTTGAAGCTCTTTATAAGGTAAATATTAAAGTTGAGAAAATACATTATTAAAAAGAATTACAAATTGTTGAAGGTTTCATATCAACCTCAAAGACTGAAGACATTTAAAACTTTTAAAAACTTAAAACTATGAACAATGGTATTCTTAACAAGTTTTTCTTCCCACATTGTGACATCTTAAAAACATACCTTTCTGCACCCCTTTCCCTCCTCTCGAGATCCAGTCATAGAATGCTAAGGTTATGTTCTTAAAAATGTACACAGACTAATTAGAAACTTTAGCCAACTTTATTTTCTCTTTTTCTACATAATACAGAGGGTAACACTGGAGTGTAGAATACAAAACTTATTTAATTTAGTTTCGGGATTCTATCAACAAAAAAGGATTTGTTTTATTTAATTTAGAAAAATTAATTTTTCCTAAATTTATATTCTAAAAACTTATTGCTATAAAATTATTTTGTATTTTGTTAGTCAGATTTAAAAAATAAGCCCAGTTTGATTAAAATTAGGGAATAAATTTACACTTTATTGCATTATATCTGTATGTTCTGATAAAATAAAAAGATTCAAATAAAAAAATTTAATTGAGTCAGAGGAAGGTTATGGAGAAAATAAACGTAAGCCCCCCTGAACAAATTCATGTGTACGCCCCATTTGGGTTTTCTTGAATAAAACATAAAAAGATGTGTTTTTAATAAAGATATTATTGTTGTCTTGTCTTTTTACTCGATTTTGTGTGTCGGGAAATAAATGGTACAATGGTACATGAATATACATAAACATAAACACGTATTGTTTTTTTGTTTTTTTTTCGTGGAATTATTATCAATATTTCAAACTATGATTAATCTTGGACTAAATAATGTAAGATAAAATTATTAAAGGTTTACATCATCTGGTTTTTTTAATGCATAGGGTTGTGTACAAGGCGGAAAAAAGTCCGGTTTTTGAAAAAAATCTAAAATAGCCCATACTTTTTTTGTGACTAAAGCGACAGATCTAAAAACCATGTTTAAAAAAAGCCATGTGTCACGCTTCGATATTTGTTTAAAACAAAAAGATATTTTTTTTATTTTTCTGATCCTTTTTTGGTATTTTTTCACCCTCCCTAGCAACCAAACTATTAAAGTTATCGGTTTAATATTTTTTTTTAATGAGCTGGCCTTGACAAATTTTGTTATGAACATGCATTTCAACCCTATACCTATTCTCTAAGGCATTTTTCTAAGGGGGGGGGGCTTCCCACGCCCCCTCCCCAGGCTATACATAAATTCAGACCCCATTATCTGAACATTATGTTTGGCTATAAAAACTGAATTAGCTTTATTTGGTAGCTTTTTTAGCAGCATTATTTTTTGTTGAACTGTTTTCTCTTTAACCTTCTGGTTTCGGTTATCTAAACAAGTCCATTTGTATCTTAGTCTCCCTGTTTTGAAACTCTATGTTTAGAAATCTATAAATATTGCCCCTGGGTATATAAAGTTTATCTGGCAAATATTTTACAAGATCTGTAAACAATATTCTGCCAAACAAACACTTTACCAAGATTAAACTGGATTTTTTAACAAATTATCCCTGCCTTAATACCCCTCCTAACTATAAGGAAAAGGCTTAAACTTATGTCGAAGGAAAAATAACAATCAAGTTTTCATCATTCATTTAAGCTTTGGCCGATCAATAATAGATTAGATATCAATGTTTTTTCTTTTAAAAATAATTATTTTTAGTTTTGATTTCTCTTTAAAAGTAAGTTGCGGATTTCTCCTGTACAGAACCATTGAAGAAATTTTAAAATTAAACATTTTGAGCACAAACCCAACATAAAAATGTAAGAAAGCAAATAAGAAAAATCGACAAAAAAGGTCATGAAAATATTTAAAAGTATAAGCTTACCGACGTCTAAACAAGTCCTTTGATATATATATGTAATAGCAAAAAAATTAAAAATCGATCCATATACACCATACACAAATGTTTTGATTTTCTTAGTACAATTTAAAATGTAATTTATAAAAAAATTCTATAAATGAAAAACTGTATGTAAAAAACAATAGTAAAAAATTTATCAGATCCGGAAATATAAATATTTAGATTAAAAAAAATATTGTACTTTTCAGTACAATAAAACGACGCTTGGTAGGCGAAATATTCTTTGTATGTGTAATATTGAAGAAGAAATATAATATTCAAAATTCTTTAATGTTATTCAATAAATTGTAAACATTTGGAATTTACAGATTTAGGTGCTAACCATTAAAAATTTGACCACGCTTTATACAAAGACGATATAGAAGAATTATTCCCATACTTAATTGGGACACCCTGACCATACCATTAAATATATGTTTTTACTATGTTTGCAGTAATCCACACTTTATATTTTCCGAAAAGGAGAACGACCGCATAAAATGCGTTGCTACAATATATTGGAACAATCTAGAAACTAACGAACGTGGAAAGAACGGTTATTGGTTAAAAAAACGGTATAGAGTCGTTTTATCTCAAAGACGTTCTAAATCAGGAACTCTTTTTAAATCTAAATTTTGGTCTAATTTAGACATAGAGAATAAAATATATAGAGAGGAATTTACTAGAAAAAAGTGTAAAACGGCCATTTTGTTGTACTGTTTCCATACTGAAGGTGTACTTCACATATTTATGCTATATAACCTGTTGGGCCCTGGAATATCATTTTAAAGAAAATCTAAAATTATTGTTAAAAGAAAACCAAATTATGAAATAGGCTGGTTTCATAATTGACCAATGATCATTTCACATAGACTCTATGCCTTCCACTTTACAAACGATGATTTTCCGTTATAACTATAAATCAAATGATGTTTTTATTCACCTAATCCATTATAAAGTTTATTTAACAGTTTAAAAATTCGAACTTGAAATGGATAGTCTAGGGAGCATACTGTATTAATGTACTCTACTGCATATAATTTGTGAACATTTACATGATTTGTACACTTTGAACTCCCTAATTCAGGCTGAAAGGGACTGAAAAAATTCATACCGAGAGATTCTTTTAATTCCTCTCTATATATTCTATTCTCTATGAGTTTAGATTTGGGGTTAATTTTGCCCTTAGTTGAGAGATAGATGCATGTGATACATAAATGTTCTTAAATACATCTCTGTATCTATTTATTCATCTATCTCTGTTTCTTAAATATCTTCTAAAATATTTCCTATTGATGGTTTACTACTGTGTACTTAAATCTTTACAATCGAGTTTTAAGCTTCTAGTAAAAGTATCTTGCTTGCTTGCTGGCAAAGAAAAAATGTAAAATTTGTTCAATAATTGTTTCTAATGTCAGATTTTGTGAACAATATATATAAGAACTTCATAGGGTTTATTATCTTCGTTTTTGTTACAAAACATATGAAAAATAAATAACATATTAAATCAAATATGAATATTTGTATAAATACTTTGTCTTATTAGCCTTCTTTAGATTAAATCTTCGACATAGCTGCAAATTTACAGAATATTCTATCCGTCATTATCCATCGCAATACTTTTTTTAGAAACAAATTCTGAATCTTTCATGTAGAGCTAATTTCATAGAGGATAAATAATTTCAGAGAATGAATTTTCAAGAATATTTATAATATTGTAAAGTTTCTGGATTGATAGAATGAAAAGATTAGAAATTCATTGAGTGTGAACTAGATAGAAGCAGAAGGTCAAAATTATGTGACACATTTTACAACTTTGTGACAGATCAGAGAAATACACAAGGTTTTTTTGGCATTATTTGTTGCAGCTAAAACGCTCATGGATTTCGCAGAATTTTTATCGCGAAACTAATTTTTGTATTTTGCATTATTAACGTTTTTGCATGTTTTCACTTTATTCATTTTCGCGAAAAAATGCTAAATTTCGCGTAAAAGTTTGCGTTAAATATATATATAATATATAAATGATGCAAAATATAAAGAATAATTAATTATCACCTCTCATTGAGAATATAACGACTCAAGGTGTGTCCATGCGCCTGAAATAAAGATTTAAGATTTCCCATACACAAAATTGACTACACTAAAAAAAGCCCCCAAAAAATAAAATTTGCCCCAAAATCAAATATTTAAGAAAAATAAAAAAATTGCCCCC